ACACATTGTAATCAAGCAAAACAAATAGATACATTGGCTGTGTCTAAAAATATAGGACATCCCAAAAATCTAAGAGCTGTTTTAAGCTTAAAATGAGACCCTCTATATATCGCTTTATGCACCCACCACTTCTCTGCCAAAAAGTGAGAAGCATGATTCCTCATTAGTCTTCTGAAGTCAAGACTGGTCCTTGCATTGATCAAAGTTCTTTTGTCTTTCAGCATTATTTTCCTTTGGAAAAGTATTGTCATTGTATAAATTGTTCTAATTCTGCTCACTTTATTCTCTATCAGTTCATATACATCTTCTCAAGTTTCTCTGAATCTACCTGTTATAATTTCTCACCACAACATTCCATTATATCCACATACTGTAATTTATTCATTCCCTACTTAATGGACAACCACTATGTTTCCAGTTTTTTTCTTCAACAAAAAGTGCTGCTGTAAATATTGTTGTACATATGATCCCTTTCCCCATTTTTGACACCTTTGGGTGTCTAAGCCTGTGATGGTATCACTGAATCAAAGGGTCTGCACAGTTTAGTAACTTTTGGATATCATTCCAAATTGCTATTCGGAATAGTCGGAGCAATTCATATTTCCACCAATAATTGTCATGTTTCTGTCCTCCAGTCTGTCCAACAATTATCATTTTCCTCTGTCATTTTTGTATTTGTAGTCTCGCAGGGCTTTTTTCCCTTTTTTCTGCTCAGTCTGTGATTTTGCTGATTACAGGTTCTATCTTTCTTGTGTGGATATGCTTCCTTACAACTTTCTGTCAATTCTGGCTTTGGTTCAAAGAGTCACATAGACTATCAAAATGATACATTCTACATATCAACTTTAAGCCCTATGGAAATCTGACAAGTTTGTCTTGGTTACCCTGCTAACCCTTTTTGCATGAGATTGACTTTGAGAAAGCACCATGCTGCTCTCTTAGCTGAGTTATTTCTGACTCCACTGTGATTTAAAAAAAATATACCTTGGCGACAATTCCAAAGGATTCATGATTAAAAATGCTATCCACCTGCGGAGAAAGAACTGATGGAGTCTCAATGCAGATCGAAGCATGCTATTTTTCATTTTTTTGTGCATTTTTGTGCTTTTGGTCAGTGTCTTCTTTAACAGTATGACATGGAAATATGTTTTGCATGATTGCACACGTATAACCTATATCAAACTGCTTGCTGTCTCAGAGAAGGAGAAAGAAAAGAAGGAAGGGAGAAAATTTGGAAATCAAAATTTTTTTAAAATAAATGTTTAAAGTTGTCTTTATATGTAATAGGGGAAAAATAAAATATGATTTTAAAATACACACACACACACACATATATATATGTATATGTATATATACATATAAAGAGAGAGAGAAACCCCTAAGAAAGAGAGAGTAGCTGGGCCTGCACTTGAAAGAGATGTAATTGATAAACTGGGTCTTCATTATCCATGTCAGCTTAATAAACATTTTCCTGTTAGTGTCTCCTAGTTCTTACTGTTAAAACATAACAAACTAATACAGAAGTAGGTTTTTTTCTTTTACTTGTTCCTCACCACTCTTCTTTTCTCAAATTTGCATCTGAACATCACTTTAAAACATTATAAATCACAATATTTCACATATTTAGACGGCTGTCAAGGTTGACTACTTGTGTGTATGTCCAAAGTTATATCAGCAGATGTTTGGTACGGTCCAGCCATGTATGCACAAGATTGTGGCTATATTGATTGTTTTCTGAGGTGACTCAGCTCCATGCATATACGGCTCAGAAGACCCATGTGTGACAATAATTGCTACCATGGCACATACAGATTGGGACTGCTCTTTGACTCAAGGCTCCTGGTGCTGTTTGCTGAAGCAGTTGCCACTTTTGATTTTATTTCTTGATTCACCATCAGCCCTGGGTCATTGTTTCAAAATTTCACCCTGTTCCTGCTTGCTATCTGCCAGGTTGGTAAGTCAGTGCAAGGATACTGGGATAGAAATTTCCCATCACACAGATCCACTCTCAAGGAGTTTATAATCTAAAGAAAAGAAAAGAGATATACTAAGATAACTTCCAAGTCTATCTATAACTCTATGTTGTTGTTTTAAGTGTGCTCTGATTGCAATACAGAGCCACTTCTACTCTAAATGTTCTAACAGAGCACTTGTGCCTCATCTGTGGTAGTGCCTTCCAAATCATATTGGACCAATCAGCCACAGACAAACACACTGTACCCTGACTCTAACATTGTGGTGTCTTTGGTCTTCGAAAATGAAGGACCTTCAACAACAACAACAACAACAATAATTGGGCAACTAGGTGGCTCAGTGGACAGAGTGCCAGGCCTGGAGTCAGGAAGACTCATCTTCCTGAGCTCAAATCTGGCCTCAAACAAATCACTTGGGTGACCCTGGGCAAGTCACTTAACCCTGTTTGCCTCAGTTTCCTGATATGTAAAATGAGCTGGAGAAGGAAATGGCAAACCACTCCAGTATCTTTGCCAAGAAAACCCCAAATGGGGTCACAAAGAGTCAGACACAAGTGAAATGACTGAACAAAGCTGGAAAGAGCACAGGATTTGGAATCTGAGGACCTGTGTTCAATATATGTCTCCCCTGTCACTGCATTGACCTTGGATAGATCAAGTCCCATGAGGTGGCATCCTCAATCCTCAACCTCAAGATGAATTTGTCTCTAAAAAAGCTGATCAAATTCCACGTTGCCAGTACTGGGTGCCAGAATTGCTAGTTATATCCCTGGGTTCCCTAACTCCAGATTTGGCATTCTTTGCATTGTATCATGCTGCCTCCTCAAATCCCCTGGATTTCACCTCATTTTGCAGAATGCTTTGAGATACTCAGTTTAAAAGATCTACTATAATTATAATAGCAGGGTAAATCTATATGAGAATCTGTTTATGAACCTCCTAAACACAAGCCATTTACAGATATCAATTAAGAGCCCAGAATTAGGTTCTAAATGATTTGGTCTAGAATATTATAGATGTAACCTGCAGTCCAGGCCTGAAACTCCGTGTTTGTAAGGACTGGGTTCAAACTTCAAAGACTTTTCACAGAATATCTGCTTTTTCATTCCTTCCCTACTCTCACCGGCCTTGGTAAGCCTTAGACAATAATAGGTAATTCCTGAGTAGGGTGAATGACATGATGCAAGCTGTTTTAGAAAGATCGGTCTGGCAGTGCTGTTTTCTCTCCTCTTCAAAGATATCCATACTCTTTTCCTCTGGATTGTACCTCCACACTTCCAAGTCTTGCTTCCTTAAGTATTATTTTTCTCCTTAGCACCTCCAGTGTCTTAACTGATTCCCTCTTCCTTGCCATCAAGCATTTTAAAAAGACATTTATCTTTAAAAAAAAATTTTTTTGAGGCAATCAGGTTAAGTGACTGGCCCAGGGTCACACAGCTAGTAAGAATTTGAGGTCAAATTTGAATTCAGGTCCTCCTGACTCCAAGGCAGTGCTCTATCCACTTTACCACCTAGCTGCCCTTATCTTAAAAATCTTAAGAATCTATTAAAAATACATCTTAATTTGATCCTGCTGCCTTCTCTGTCTACAATCATATGGACATAGGAACTCTCCTACTGTATTAAAACCATCCTCAGTCCATTCTGTTTTATATCCTTTTGCTAACAGAGGCCTCCAGGAATGTTCTATGCAGAAGGAGGTATGATGCCCGCTATAAGGTCTGAGTTCCTATCATTCATAAATTTGTCTAAATTCCTTTTTGGATCCATTTTGGATCTCTCTTCAGGGAGTAAAGTTGTAAAAAGAGGTTGGTCTATATTAAAAAAGGTAAGGATAAGGAAGACATTCCATTTCTCAGGGCCCTTCCCAAACTATTATTTTAATGGATCCTCTCAACATCTCTACAAGTTTCATATCACTCATCCCTTTTTAACAGATGGAAGAAATGAAGGCATGGAAAAAGTCAAGCAGCTTGGTTATACAACAAATGAGTGGCTGGGATGGCACTAAGCTCCAGCTCTCCGAAGCCCCAGGAATAAAAAGATTTGCCCGCTGAAATCACAGTGTCTCACCAAGGAAGCCTGGGAACCAGTAGTCCAAAGAAACATTAACCTCTTCTCCAGATGAGAATTGATTTTTGGTCTAGACCTGTGATCATCAGTGTGGGGACCTCCCAGTATGACTACAGGGCAGTAATTCCTCTATAATCTGTAGAGTTAGCCTAGGGCAGAGGTTAAGTGCCTTGCCAGTATCACACAGCTAGTATGTCTTGGAAGCAGGGTTTGAACCCAGCTTTTCCTGATTCCAAGGCTGGCCTCTTAACCTCAGTGCCATGATTAAAAAACAAACTTCTGGGATGGGCCGAGAACCAGCATTTGGTGGTTGAACATCCTTGTCTTTTCTACAATGTCAAGACAAAGCAAGGACAGAGTGAACTCCATCTGGCATGAATTGTGACCAAAGGGGTTAGATGGCAAGCTGATTTAAAGAATTTGGGCCTCATATGGTGAGAATTCTGGTATCATGAAGTGTGTCGATATCATATACATATCCACATATATGTTATGCCAATGGTTTACATTCTATATAGGTTTTTATTTTCAATGTTATTTTAACGTCCTCAATCCATAAAGGCATTTACTTCTTGCCTTTTTGTGCTGTTTATTTGTATTTTTTTGCTTTGGCTGCATGAGGAAGGTTTGAAGCAAATGTGTGTGGGTGGTTTCCATGGTGCAAACTTCCAGAGAAGGGGGCAGTTCTGCCTGAGCTAATTGGGCATGTGTATTCCAACGTGCTGGGACGGAAACACAAATGCCCTGATATGGCAGGTACTTTCGGCAGTTGCTAGGAAAAGGGAAACGGTTCCTCTTGTTGGGGAGGCAACTAACTTGGCGGAGGGGGGGGGGAGCAGGGAAGTGAAGGAAGAGGAAGAGGAGGAAAATGGATAATGGGAGCTTTAAGGACGGTAGTTTATCAGATTTCAGCGTAATCGAGCAATCACCTGTGTGCTCTGTTTCCTTTAACAGGATCAAGAAGAACAAGCTTACTTTGCCGTGTTCGATGGGCATGGTGGGGTAGACGCTGCCATTTATGCCTCTGTCCACCTCCATGTGAACTTAGTACGCCAGGAAATGTTCCCCCATGACCCCGCGGAGGCGCTCTGCCGGGCCTTCCGGGTGACCGACGAGCGTTTTGTGCAGAAAGCAGCCAGGGAGGTTTGTAACTTCTTCATATGGGCAGTTGTGGGCCCAAAGAAGAATCGTTTTTTTCCTGAAACACGAACTAAAAAAACACTAGCCTGGTCTACTCATTTAGTCCGGGGGGGGGAACCTGGCGCCTCCAGGCTGCATGTGACCTTCTAGGGCCTTGGCTGTGACCTTTCCACTGAGTCGGAGTTTCACAGAACAAATCCTTTTATTAAGGGGATTTGTTCTGTGAAGTTTGGATTCAGTCAGGGCTGCACTTGAGGACCTAGTGGGCCACGGGTGGCCTTGAGGCTGCAGGTTCCCCACTCTTGATTTAGTCTGTGGCTAAAAGGCTAATTAGATTCAGATTCTGCTTTCTTTAGCACTGCCTCCCCTCCCACTCCCAATCTTGGTATTTACACACCTGGGCATTCTCATCTGGATTCTGCTCCTAAGGCAACACCCTGAATTCCATTGTAGTTCTCACTCACCATATTCCATTTACAGAACATGCCAAGTGAGTTAGTGGTTCATGAACGCAGTCCTAATTTCAGGGTCATTTTAGGTGTAGCGTATAGAAGTTCTTGGGCTACAGTTTTCTAGCAATTTCTTACCACTAGATTTGTCAGGTAAATTTTTACTTTCTTAATCGCCAACGTCTATCAGTCATACCATAATCATTTCTTTCCCTTTCTGTTGCTACCAAGTTTGGATATGGTCATTAAGTCAGCAAACTGTAAGTGGGAAAGACCGCTTTAGTTTCCTATGTTAAGAGCCTTGGAGAAGAACTGGGATTACAGTTTACTGTAATCTATTGGGATTACTCACCATATTAGTCTGATCTCACTGATTATTAGTCTCAAATGACTTAAGAACCAAATTTCCTCTTGCCAGAATAAAAAAAGTTTGAGGTTGTTCTCTATATTGTAATGATTTCCACTATTTAAACATTTACTGACCTGAATGTTTACTGACTCTGAACAACAGAAATGAGATATTAGGATGAACAGTGGGAACTTCAACCTAATTAATCATTCTGAGCCATGGGTACATAATGAACTATAATACTGAATGCTGGAAGTCTTAACCAGGAATGAACTGAAAAATAAATAATTTTTTTTCTTAAAGAAATGGATTGCACAGAGAGAAAATGATTCTCTCATAACTGAAACATTAACTCTTTCATGGAATGGGCTGGGTGTGGGGTGTGCATGAACATTTTACCCATTTCAGTTTGGAAAACTCACATAAGCAAACCAGTAGGAAAGCTCAGAATGTGGTCCAGAATTCTTGATGATCCATGCCCTAGTGAACCTTAGGGTCCCACAGAAGATGAGCATGTGTTTCCTTTTCTTCTGATGATCCTAAGGTCTGCCTAGGTTAAATGCAAATCCAGTGATAGTAGTCACTAGACTTTTACAATTAAACTCAGTTCAATTCAATTCAACAAGGATTTGTTGCCTACTATGTCCCAAGAATTAGGCATATGGGAATGGGAAATAAAATTAAAAGATGAATTAAACAAACCCTAGATTAAATATGAAAGGTTTTATTGATTGAATACTATACTTTGCGCTGGCTGCTAATCCCCTAAACCTCCTGAAAACCCCAGCCTCCTGGCTTTTCCTCTTATGGTTATTCTCCCTCTGCTTTGAGCATGGAACATGATACCTTGACAAATGATCTAGAGATAACCCCAAGCATGCCTTGAGGTCTTTTCTCTCCACCATATCCTTCCATTTCTTCAAGAGTACACAATAATCTTGACTGTATTCACACTTACTTATTTTGTCTGAAGTTCCAGTGTGCCTCAGTCTCCCCAACAGTTTGCTACTACCTTAAATAACTTAGATCTTGCACAGCAAGTTCCCTCTTGTGCTTCCATGTGCTGTTAACTGCTGAGAAAAAAGTAGCTATTCCTGTTGTGAAACAGCCCAGCCTCCTGTTCTCTCCAGAGCATATGCGGTGAAACGTCTTTATAATTTGTACTAACGGGGCTGAATTATCTGCATGTTCTGTGTGGGAAGACATTCTATTGGTGGGCGAGGATTTATAACAAACAAGGAATTCTCCCCATGTAGATGATGGGCAATGGGAAGGGGATATTGGAAGGGAGAAGACAGATGTGCCTTTAGCCACCTGTGGTTCATTAGGTCTAATTCAGAGTGATAGAAAATGGTGATACGTGGGTCACTTAAGTCAAATGGATCTGTTGTGTCAGTCTGCTAATAGCATCAGCATCTTTAAGAGCCCTGGGAATCAGAAGACCTTGCTTCTCCTCCTGGGGCTCCAAATTCCAAATGCAATAGTAATTGAAAGGGAAAGTTTCTCTGCATGTAATATTACCAAAACCTAAGCCTCTAAAAAACATTTTATATAAGTTTCATTGTAGTTGTGCATGTCTCAGAACGTGGTTTGTGCTAAGAGTATAAACCATGTGCTCTACGGAATACAAAAAATACAGAAATGAAATCCTTTTCAATTGTTTCCTCCTTATGAATCCTTCACATATTCCATCTAGATGCATCAAAACATTGACTCCATTTCCCCCTCAAGTGAAACGCTATATATCGTAGTTTTACAAAAGATGGGACCTGAGGCTATGACTTTTCCCTGACCAAATGATTTAGTAGTGCCTGTGAGACACATGACACAGTGGGAAAAGCCCTGCCCTGATGGATAGAGAACTTGTTCTGGATCTGGTTTTAGTTGCATGACATTGGACAGGGGTTCTTAGGAGGACCAAATGAGATAATATACGTGAAAATGTTTTTTAAAAGTATGATGCACAAATATAAAGTATTATTAATAGTTCAGCTATTCCTTACTTGCTAGGAGTGTAGAGTTACCTTTCAATGAGAATTCAGTGCCTCTGGATCTTCATTTATACTGACTTTGCATTCACCATTTTCAGAGCTTACGCTGTGGGACCACAGGCGTGGTGACATTTATCCGAGGCAACATGCTCCACGTAGCCTGGCTGGGCGACTCTCAGGTCATGCTTGTGAGGAAGGGCCAAGCCGTAGAATTAATGAAGCCACATAAACCGGATAGAGAGGTGAGCAGAGCCTCTTTCTTTTGGCTATAATCCAAGGTCTGTTCTCCAGCTAACTATTCATGCTATTATGTTTTATTATAATAATTATCATTATTTTCCCAGCAACCAGCCCCATAAAGTTCCTGGAAAAAGAAAAAAGGAAAAGAATCTTTCCAGGAAATGGCTATATGTCGTGTCTGCCTCATGGCAACTGAATGACATCCCTCCTTCTAATTCTTACCACTCCCAGAGCCTGCTTATGTTACATTCTCTGTTTTTCTCTTATGTGCTACACTGTGATTTAGGATGAGAAACAACGAATTGAGGCCCTTGGAGGCTGTGTGGTCTGGTTTGGGGCCTGGAGAGTGAATGGAAGTCTGTCTGTCTCAAGAGCTATTGGTAAGAAATTATTTAACTCATTAAGGCTCTCCAGAGTGCCCCCATCCTCACTTGCCCCCTACACATTCACTACAATACCACTGAGAAACTGGAGACAATACAATTACCATTATGAAAGAACTCATGGTACCATTTATACAGCAATTAAGGGATGTCTCTCTTACTTTTAATTACTGATTCATATCCTTTTGTCTGTGGAGGCTTATGTTTAAATTCCATTATCGAAATGAAAAAAAAAAACCCTAAGCACATAGGGCCTACAGGTCTGCTCTTTTCTTTATTGAAAGCAGCCTGTGACTCATATTAAGGAGAGCTGCTGCTTGAAATCACGCTACCCCTTTATTTCATCTCATTCTACTCTTATCTGATGCACAGTCACAGGTTTCCCTGACGCACAGGATGATGGCATAGGGCTAGACACCACATCTTTTACCTCATGTAGACTCACCTATGGCAGTTCATCTAAGCAACCCCTGGTTTTAAAAATGTCCTACTTATTTCTACCATATTCTAAGAGACTGCAATTGTTGCCCTCAGTGAATGAAAACAAATTTTAACAAAAATATTTTAATTTTTTAAAAAGTATATTAGAAATTATCTAGCATATGGGAAACAAGAAAGAATCCCAGTAGCATTCCAGCTTAATTATACTAAGTTTTTTGAGGAGCTTTAGGACCAGAACTGAAACATACAGGCACAGTTCATGAAGGGTCAAATGTGAGAGTTTTCTAGCTCTCTAAAATGACTTTGGAACCGGCAGGTAAACCTGACCAACAGCAGCACTTGCTCTTTGAGGTCAGTGTGCTATCTGAAGTCCCCACTAGATCATGAATAGGTTTAATAAAAATGGAAACAAGAGGGAACCATCAGAAAACACTTTGTGTTTTTAGATGGAAAATTCTTTCTTTATTTATTATGACAATTTGCTAGATAACCTTGGGGCTAGTTATTATGAAATCTTTTGGTGTCCTACTACACTGACCTATCTGAGCCTCTTGGGGGAACAAAGGTAAGTTAAATGGAACTGTCTCACCCTAAATCATATGGTCCGTGGAAGAAGCAGCTGAGTTTGCTGGCATAATGAAAAGCTGCGAAATGGGAGAACCAGGTTGTATGTAGTCGTGGAAACCACATGCACTCACTTCGGGCACTAAGCCCATAATTTCAGGCTTCACACTGTAGTAAAGTTGGCTAATACTGTGTGGCCAAACTCTTGCTTATCCATGTCACAACAATGACTCTGACAATAGCCTACAATATTCTCTAGTATCTATTTTTTTATCTGTAAGATGATTTCGCAATTTTTATTTTAAAAAGAATCCTACTTGTCTTGATTTTCTTTCAGCTGAGTATATGTGATTTGTACTCACTTTCAAGGGTGTAGCGACAAATGCCAGCCTCTCTAGGAACTGGGCACAGGGATAGGATAAATGAAATTTATATATAATCCCCCAATCTAATTTCACTCATTAATTTTAACCTTCTCCCTTTCCAAGGCAGTTAACAGGAGCTAAAAGGATTCTCTGAGCTTCACCTCCTCTCGCCTACTCTTTGGTAGAGGTGGTAACAAGCTGTTGAAGGGCCCAAATGTGGGGAGTAGCAAGTAAGAGAGAGGAAATGCATTTCTTTCTAACTACAGTTAGTAAAGGATTCTAGAATAAACAGCCCAGAGGGAAAAAAAAAATCTCTTTTCTAGAATATATTCTGCATCAAATCTATTTGATTCCAGAAGTATCAGAAGTCCTGTGAATCATCTTCAGATACATTAGAAGCATGGGAATCTTTGATACTTGTTAATGAGCCAAATAGCCTACCAAAAAGGAAATGGAAAGGAGTAAAGTCAAGAAGGAAACTAGGAACATATCTCTCCTTGGTCTTAAACGAATGATACATGATTACTAGGGTTTTTCTAGATTGGAGAAAAATGTTTTCTACTTCAACATAAACGTAATTTGCATCTTCAGAAATGAAATCCTTTTCAATTGTTTCCTCCTTATGAGCTCTTCAGACATGTTGAGTTTCCATGGTAGATGAAGGGGGTAGTTCAAAGATAAAAGGTTAATGCTGCTTCTATCATGAGATGGATTCATGCCCTCCTACCAAGTTTGGGGGCGAAATGTCATGAATTTGACACACCCCACACAAGAGCAGGTGAAAAGCCAGACTCTTGGCAGTGTTTGCCGGGCACAGATATTTTTTATGCTTCATTCTAAAGTAACAGTTGCAGTAACCCTTTAACTGAAGCACTAAAATGAGAATTTGGGAACAGTATGAGTCAGATCACATGTATTTTTAGAGCTGGAATTCAGCAAATGATAATGATGATAATAATACAGTCAGGTATGGTAGGAGCTGATGAATTTCAGAAGAGATGCATAGAGGCCATTGAAGGGAAGGTCCATGACTGGGAGTTTTAATGAGAGTAAAAAAAGAGACAGCTGAGAGCTACTATAGCATTCTGAAAAATGAAGTAATGTCTTTAGGTCACTGAGGAAAAGGATTCCAGCTGCTTGATGTAGTCGTACTAATTGGAAGGAGAGGCCAGATATTAACAATAATAACTATAACAGCTAACAGGTACATAGCATTTACTACATGCCAACATAGTAAATCCTCACAACAGCACTGCAAGGTAGAGACTGTGATTATCTCCATGAAGAAAATGAGGCAAACAAACATTAAATGACTTGCTCAGGATCACACAGCTAGTAAGTGTCATGAGGCCAGATTTGAACTCAAGTCTTCCTGACTCCAGGCCCAGTATTAATCCACTGTGCCACAGTGAGGGGATCTGGTCAGGCTTGTAGGAATGAATACAAAAGGCTGATTTTGAGAAATATTAGGACAGAAGAAATAGGATGTGGCAGTGGCTTCAAGGTAAAGATGACCTAAATGTCTTAAGTATCCAACAGTTGAGGGTGTGAGGGTATGACTAGTAGTGAAAATAATAGTAAAGAATTCAGAGGGGTTTAGGGGAGTAAGAATGTGTATGGTAGTGATCTAAATGACCTTGATTTTTATTACACGATATCATGGTATAGTGAAACCATGGGGTTAGACTAAAGGTTTTTTCTACTTTCATAGTATGCATGAGGACTCTAGTCATTCAACAAATATTTATTGGTCATCTTTGACATATAAAGCACATTATGCTGGAATGTTATGAATTTTAAGTGTTAAAATAGCCAAGCAGACATGTTTCTTGCAAATACACAGTCGTGAAACCATCAAAGGTATGAGAAATCAGGGCTGGGAACAAACTTGGCAGTTGTGGACGTGACGGTCATCACACATGGTGAGTAAGACCATGAATGGATCAATAAGCTGTCTGAGGGAGTTACAGTAGGACAAGCCTTGAGGAACAACCACATTAATCATGGAAAAGCAGCAAACCAATGACTTCTACGTAGACAGAAGAGCATTATTATATTTATTAATGACTCAAAGATGGGTACGCTAGCTAATACAACAGATGACAGGTTTCAAATCCACAAAATATCGTGATAGGATAGAACAATGGGTCTGATCCAACAAGATGAATTTTAATAGAGATAGAAATAAAGTCTTGTAACTTGTATTAAAGGAAACAAGTGCAAAAAGATAGGGAAGGCAGCTTAACGGTGATTCATGTGAAAAAAGTCAGGGGTTTTGCTAGGCTGCAAGTTTATTATGAGTGTCAAGTGTGTGAAGTGTAAAAGCAGTGTAATGTGACTGCTGAAAATGTTATTTGAATTTTAGGCCTCAGTAATAGTTATATAGTGTCTAGGGATAGGGAAGCAACAGTCATGTTTTCTTCTGCCCTGATAAGAAGATAGAGTGCCCACTGGGAGTATTGTGTTGTTCTGTGTGCTGTGCTTTAAGGAAAAAAAAATCCACTCCAAAAATAGAAGATAGAGAAGGCACAGGTAGTTAAAAGTTTATGTAATAAATACCTGGAGGTTTCAGTGGATTGCAAGCTTAAAGTGAGTCACTAATGCAATGTGGAAATCAAAAAAGGTAATGTGATCTCAGGTTGCAGTAAGAGGCACCGTCCTGAATCAAGGGCGTAATATTGTCCAGTGTTACTGTGACTGCATAATGTTAAATTCTGGACCACAAATTGTAGGAACAACCATCAAAACTTGGAGAGTGACAAGGGTGGTGAAAGCCTTGAGATCAGGTCGTAAAATGATTGGCCAAAGGGGAATGATAGTTAAAAATATTTCATGGACTGTCACAAACTAGAGAATGTCTAGGTGGCCAGAATCATCACGGGTTTTGAAACCTTGCCATATGAGGACAGCAGAAATAACTCACCTCTAACTTTAGGGGGAAAAAACCTAGGAGCACGAACAGCTGGATTCAAATCAATGGCTAACTTATGGATTAGGGTACAGACTTGTTCTATGTGGCTTCAGAAGGAAGAACGATGAGTAATGGGTGGAAATTATGGGGAAGCAGATTTTGCTTTGGTATAATCAGGAACTTAAGCTGTCCAACAGTGCAATAGGATGATTTCCTTGCCATTGGAAATGTTTAAATGAAGATGAGATGGCAGGGATAGATGACTGAAGGGATTCCTACATATAGCATACCTCTTAGGTTCTATAAAATTAGATGAATGGAGGTCATGATATGGCTTATCACTGATATTAAGGCTCTTATGAGAGAGGGACGTTTTGCCTTCCTCTATCTTATAGTACTTTCAAGTCTTCAAAACTATGTGGAAAGAGCTTTCCTTTGGGACTGTGAGACCTAGGTTCTAATTCCAACTCTACCACCAACTTGTAAAGTCATTCATTCTATGAGTATTTATTAAGCACTTATTTATGTGAAAGGTACATTCTAATGGGGGAGATAACATATAAATAGGGACAATTAAGTCCCAATCAGTGTGAAATTCACACTGAATATTTCCATTGGGCTGGAACCAATTACCATATTATACATAATTATAATTTTAAATAGGCCAAATTCAAATACATGCAAACTTTGCAAGGGATTCACTTCAGGGGATTCATTTATTCCCACTAAAAGGGAGCTAGCTATGCATATAAGACACATGGGGGAAGGCATTAGCAGCTAGGGCAAATGGGATATAGAAGCTGGCATATCAGCTAAATCTTGATGGAAGTCAAGAATTCTAAGAGATGGAGATTAGGAGAGAAATCATTCCAGGCATGGAAAACGGCCCAGTGTAAAGGGATTGCTTAAGGGGAGGGGAGATAAGAGATGACACTTTGGCTACAAGACAGAACAAGTTAGCCAGTACAGCTGGATTATAGAGTATGTAGAGGAGTGTAAAAATTAGGAAAAAGGTAGTAAGAGGTCAAGTTGTTAAGTTTTAAATGCCAAACAAAGAACTTGACATTGATCCTGGAAGTAATAGGGAACCACTAGAATTGGGGATGGGGAGGTAGGGAAGGCTGACACGGTCAGACCAATCATTTAGGCAATTAAGTAAGTACCTTAAACTCTCTGGGTCAGTTTCCCCACCTATAAAATTAGGTAATTGGACTGAAGTCCCTTCTAGTTCTAAAATTCAATAACTCTTAGCTGTCTATCTGTACAACAGAAAACCAGCCCAAATGTCATTACCTACCTATGGAGGTAATGGTCTAGGGCTGAAAGTCTAAGCCAAAAAGAAGCATGCCTCCAGGATGGTCTGGGTATTGTGGTACATAGGTGGTTATAAGCATGTTTTATAGATCAATGTAATAAAATACTTTTGAAGGTATTTTATAAATTTCTGTAAGTCTATATTATCATATTACTATAGAGTCATTTAGTGTGGCCCAAGTAACTCTGTTGCTACATCAGGCTAAAATAAAACCTTACTCCTCCATATCTGCTTTTTAATTCCCACAGGAGATGCTGAGCATAAGCCATATATCTGTGGGGATGCAGACTCTGCCTCCACTGTTTTGGATGGGTCTGAAGACTACCTCATTTTAGCTTGTGATGGCTTCTATGATACCGTGAACCCCGATGAGGCAGTGAAGGTTGTGGCTGACCACCTAAAGGAAAATAATGGAGATAGCAGCATGGTTGCCCACAAATTGGTAGCATCAGCTCGTGATGCTGGGTCAAGTGACAATATCACTGTCATTGTGGTATTCCTAAGGGATATGAACAAAGCTATAAATGTTAGTGAGGAATCAGACTGGACAGAGAACTCTTTTCAAGGAGGTCAAGAAGATGGCGGGGATGATAAGGAAAATCATGGAGAAAGCAAACGCCCCTGGCCTCAGCACCAGTGCTCAGCACCGGCAGATCTAGGCTATGACGGGCGAGTGGATTCATTCACTGATAGAACTAGCTTGAGCACAGGGTCCCAAATCAATGTGCTTGAAGATGCAGGCTACCTAGATCTCACAAAAATAGAAGCAAGCAAACCTCAGAGTGCCAAATTTTGGTCACCAGTTGAAATGTTTGGTTTTACAGTACCAAAGAAAGCAGATCTTGTTAATGATATAATAATGGAGAAAGAATCGGTCTGGTCTTCAGTGCATGAACAGCATGATGCTGGAGAATACCCTGCTTATCTTAATTCGGGTTCAACAGGGCAGCATATATATAGAATGGAGAGCTTGTCTCCAGTCTTTTCTGGGTTGGAAAATGAACCCCTGGGAAAGAGAGTTTCTAATTTCTCTCATTTACGCCACTATTATGCAAAGAGACGGCATGGATTCAGGCTCAAACCAAACTTTCATATGTTTCTCTTTGCTCATGAGCCTTCCCACAAAGCAGGCACAACTAGCCTGTCTTCAATTATTCGAAGTGGGAATAGAAATAAGAGGTTGGTAAGAAGTTCTCTGCCATGGAGACAAAATGCTTGCAAAAAGTACAGTGAGATTCTGATGGGGATGCTTAGAAACAGTCATTGTATACCATATGCAGACATTCCCTGGAGCAGTAAAATATAACAACTCTTCTTTAAAGTAGGTTAGATACCTCCCCTCCCACACATCCCCCCTCCTAATAAAACAGTATCATCAGTATAGAAAACAAGATGGGCATTTCAGAAACATGAAGTATGTTATGACTTTATGAAAGGCTCAATTCTTGTGTGTAAATAATCTCTAGGAAATTTTAAAGTGTTTCAATCTTAAAAATACTAGTGATTCTACTCCCTGAACTATGGATCCATGTGTGCACCCACACCTCTAACACACACACCTCCTTGTGTCACTAGTGGGAAGCGGGCTTAGTTGGTTCATTTGATTAGATGCAGTCAGGAAAACTGTTTTGATCTGGCTGAAATGTCTGTGAAGGAATATATATGTGTGTGTCTGTGTGTATATATCTGTCTATACAGATAGATACAAATAGATAGACACACACATATATATTTTTTAAAATATATATGAAGAGAACCTAGTTTAGAATTGTCAAATTTAGCGCAGAAAATGTTCCCCAAAGCCTGGGTTCATTTCTGGGTCTTTTTTTTTTATTAATAGCTTCCCAGGGAAAGAACTCTAGGAAAATATCCACTTTGTAGGTAAAAGATTAAAAGCCATATGGATTTTAATGGGGCACACAGGAAGTGGGAGTCTAGTGTCAGGTCTCCCCTTCTCAGACAAAGATTGAAGTATAGTCAGGCATAAAAGCTGAACGTGAAAACTCTTTCATAGTTTAAAAAAATCTTTTTCCTGTGGGGCTTCTTCAGAATCTTTTTTGGTGCTTTTTTTTTTGGAGGTTTTATGATTACTTTGTCAACTGATTTTAATCTATGATGTTAATGAACTCCTTTCTCATTGGACCTTCATCTCAGGAGTCAAAAGGAATCCGTTTTTTCAAGATGTTATCAAGGTAAAAATTTGCCAGTTAGTACTGAATTAACAGGCAAGCTTAAAAATTCAAAATATCATGTTACTCCAATCTAATAATTTATGCTACTTGTTCAAATGTTTCAGTTTACAGACAGCAAAGGTATTTGTTCCTATAAAAGTGTTACGAGGATGAAAAAACACGTACCCCACACACACACCCAAGAAGCTGAAGCATTAGGAACATTCTCTAGCTAACTGGTGACACACTGAAAATAGCTTAAAATGAGCCTGATGCCAAGCACTGATGAGGAAAAATGATTAGACAGGAACTGCATGGCTACAACTTCAGTGAAAACTGCTACTATGCAGAGAGAGGAATGGAAATTTCTTTCTGTTAACATCAATCTCAAAATGGTTCAAGTTTTTTTTTTCCTAAGGCCCTAGTTATTAGTGGGTTTATATATTTACAAGTTGGCATAATAACCTCCAGATAATTAAAGGAAATAGTAATAAGTCAAATATAGAAATTATGTTTACTCAACGAAGGTATAGGCATTCATATCTAAAAACCCATCGTTCAGTGTTATGTAGAATTAGCTCTTGATGATTAATCACTAATCAACAGAATAATTAATAGTGGTAACCAAGTTGTAGGAATTCTAGGAATCACCTCTGTGGGCTATTGAACTGGTGGTATTTGCAAATTTTGCCCTATGTGTTTGCATATTAAAATTAGTTTACAGTTATATTTCCTGAGCATATAATGGAAGGTACAAATTTAAATATATACCACAGATAATACAGAAAATGTTGACTCTAGCATTTTAACCATACCAGTGAAGCTATGAGTGGATTAACATGAGCATGTCATTAAATGTACAGATTTTATTTTCTAAATATTTGAATTCTTAAGTAGACATATGGCTTGTATCCTATTGATTTTGGATTTATTCCTTCTTATAAGATCTATGAAAGATAATAGGGTTGGAAAACAATGAGTAAATAGGTCTGAATGCAGCACAGGAGTCATTTAGTCATTCTTCAGGGTACAAGTTCACGTGTTAAGACAGCAGAAAACCTATCTGTTGAGTTTTGAAGCCTTGGATGTCATTGTTAATATCCTATTAGGTATACTTAGTGTTTCAAATCAAATTGTTTGAGGAAACAAGAAACCAGAGGCAGCAGTGGGATTTTCTCTACCCTTTCTATTCTCTTCTCAAACTGGACAATAAGCTTGAAGTAGGTAGTCTGAAGGTCTCTAAATTTAATATTCTAATCCCTTTAATTAAGTGTACTAAAAAGAAAAGTCCACCTTTGATCAGAGTAACTAGGTTAAGCTTATTTGGTTGAGATGAAGGTGGCGGGGGGGATGGGGGAAGAGAGGGAGGAACACATGACAGCACTTCTTCCTGGTGTGCAGAAAGATCGACTTGGCACTGGCATGAGTACTCACATCTGCTAAGGGTCTGGTTTTCTAGGTCTAAGTAAACATTTCTCATATAACTAACCCTTTAGAAATTAAATGAACAGTAGTTCCAGTGTGATCAAGGTATAAACCAATATTGTAAGAAATAGCAAGTGTTCATATTTTCACCACATGCATATTTATAGAGTAGTTAGGAACCATTTGTAAGGTAAGTCCTTTAAAATTCTATAATACATATTAAAGTAGTGGTTATTGGTCTGATTTATGCTGCTCTTGATTCTACACTAGACAAAAAAGCAGTGCTTTGTGAGATGCAGTGTTTTATCTTCATGCCACTGGTGATAGAAAGTAGTTCTCTTCAGTTCACACCCTGTGCCCTTATTTGCTGCTTGCTGACGTAAGCAATAAGAACCCCTCTAATGGTATCTAAACGTTTTTGTATCACGTAGTTGATGATGGTGTATTTGGTGACAGTGTAAAAATACTAGACAGATATAAAAGTATCTATAGAATATATTTATTAACTGTTAATACTGAAGTTTAGTCTGTGAATTATGTGTTTTGTATTTTTACTCATCATGTAATTTTGGTGGTGGTGAAATTTGTACAACCAATCCTTAAAGAGCTGCAGCATCCCTTTTGCAATTTAACATAGTTTGCATCAGTTTCAGTTTACTGGCCAAACAGGCTTTATAAAGAATATGAGGTAGTTTTAAAAAGTCGAGGTTTTTTTTTTAAATAAAAACTATGTTTGTTTGGGAAATAGACTCCAGGTCCCTAGCCTGAAGTTACTGAAAACTCCTTATAAGCTCTTCACTGTGAGTTTCAAAGGGATTCAATCCCCAATTTAATGGTTTCCTTTGTTTTGAATTTTAAACGCGCAGTTTTGAGGAATATCTGAAGTTCGGTAACATTACAGCCCCAAACCCTGGTGCTGTTATTCCCATTTAGATTTGCACTAAAAAGGTGAGTGGAAACTCACACGTGTAAATATCTTTTCTTTACCTAGAAGTGCCATCCATTGTCCTTGAAAGTAATGAAACAAAACAAGTTATTAACTGCCATTGATCAATACTGATTCAATTAGCCAGGGTATCCTGAAATGCAACAGACCTTTTCCAAGGACAATGTCAAAGCTGAGTTTAACTTTGACCACATTTATAGTGGTGTATTGTCAACACTGCATTTTCATAAGCTCCACTCCATTGTTGGAACGCTGTGTGTCAGTGAGATAAACATGATGCAGAGAAGTTCAGTGTTAACAGAGATGACTGCTGTGGTTCACATACTTCCTCCCCCAGCAAAGGTTTGCTGAAGCTCCATGAGGAAGACTGATCGAAATTACCAGTTGTCTTTAACCCAATTTGTTCATTCATTCAACACTCACCTAGGAAAGACCAAGAAAGGGGATACTACAGCTTTGTTTGTACCTATAATTTAGGGAAATCCTTCTTTGGATCCTAACTGCACCAGGAAGAAAATAGTTTTCTCCCCTTGTGTGCCTATAACCTACAACCCATTGGAAGGATAAACACGCATCTTTTGTTCTTTGACTTGTGTAAAAGTTAACATTCTTTTTCAGAGCTAGTAGCAAAACAACACAATCCTAGAGCTGCCCAGCAATGCGACTGATAATCCAGGGAAAAGGAGACGTTAGCTTAAAAGGGACCAGGCACTATTTCCATGTTTTCCTATAGCCACATTTAGCTTCCATTTGTAAGACTATTTACCTTACTTACTAATTAGAAGATATGACACAGGATAGGGAACCCTGGCTGACACAGCTGTCGTCCTTGAAAAAGAAATCCTCATAATAAAACTTTTGACGTTTTGTGTTAGATATCCACAGATGTGTTACTGTCAACTCTTACACTGGGTGCTCTTTGGTGACAGACATGCTGTATTCTCTTGTTCATGACATTTCTCTGCAATGAATTCTCTGTGGAGTGAATCAGTTGAAGCAAATGATTTTCTTAAGAAGTTTAACTTTTCAATTTGCAAACTTGCTCTACAGCTCACTTGTGAGTTCAGTTGTAATCATGTATTAAGTCATTCATATTTTATTTATTAAAGCTGTTCATTCAGTAAGGACTATGTTGAAATTTTGCCAGTATCTTAATAAAACACAGCAATTTAAAATAACTTCTCCCTTGTGTTTTTATTCCAAGGAAGGTTCAGTTCCTACTGCTCTAACAAAGAAAACATGGCAATTCGGGGAGCCAACTTAATATGCAATTTTTTTGGTTTACTTAGAAGTGCCATCCATTGCCTTTGAAAGCCATAACAAATGAAAATAACATAAAAAACAAAAGCTTCTCTTGCTGTTCTGTGCAAATGAACTATATGAGAAAAAACTTTTGTGTACTATCAAAAAGCTCCTGTCCCACAGTTAAATAGTATGAGTTCTTTACCTGCTACATTTGAGAAGCTGAGTCAAAGCACATTTGGTCCTGCCTTGCTATTAATTCTCTTTATCTAGTCCTAAACTTAAAATAGTATAGTTACACATCACATAACAGAAAAACACAAGAGATCACTGCTGTATGGCTTTTGTCCCCTCTTTTCCCAAGGATCTGTTTTCATGTACTGGAAATATCACATCAACATAGTTAAAAATAACTTTCTCAGTTCTTCTGAATTACCATGTAGATTATGAGGACATGCTAAGCCAAATAGAGCTCATCTTAAAAAAATAAAATAAAATAAAAACTTTAATATTTATTTTAACGGGGATAAAATGCAATACTTGGGGTAAGGAGATAGAACACACTGACTTACAAGCAGGGGAGTTGCTATCTGAACTAAGGAATGGCCACATGCAGGGCAAAGGTGAAATTGCAATTAACCACTGACTATAGCTGTAGGCAAAGGATAGATAGCCTTTCCGTTGCCAAAACAGAGAAAAGGTTCACTAAGCCACTATGGTCAGAAATATCCAGAAGAACCATCAATAACATCATCTTTGAAGATGGTTGACATATCAGAACATTCATATTATACAGCTCATCTAAGACGTAAATGACAAAATCTGCTGGCTCACTTCCACATTAAAAATGCTAGGATTGGGTTGTTTTAAGTTTACACTCCAAGATCAGAAGCTGAAGGCTAGCTTGGAATAAGGCTTAGATTTTCTCTGGGAACTAGATTCTGACAATGATCAGCTTCTCTCATCATGTACTAGGAGTATTATCTTAGGGTCCAAAAATAAGAAAAGTGACATCTGACTGTATATGCACTAAATTTCCACTCAGTCCTTCAAACCCTGTTGTCATCTGCTCAGGTTTTTTGTTTTTTTTAATTTTTAGTTTTCAACATTCACTTCTATAAGCTTTTGAGTTTTAAATTTTCTCCCCCTTCCTCCAAGCCTCCCTCCATAAGATGGCATGCAATCTGATACAGGCTATACATATACATTCCTATTAAACATATTTTCACATTAGTCATGTTATAAAGAAGAATCAGAACCAATAGGAGGAAGCACAAGAAGAAACAAAATAAAACAGAAAGGAAAAAAAAGAGCAAACAGTATGCTTCCATCTGCATTCACACTCCATAGTTCTTTCTCTGGATGTGGAGAGCATTTTCAACCGTGAAGCTTTTGGAAATGTCTTAGATCCTTGCATTGCTGAGAAGAGCTAAGTCTATCAAAGTTGGTCATTGCACAATATGGCTATCACTGTGTACAATGTTCTCCTGGTTCTGTTCACTTCACTCAGCATCAGTTCATACAAGTCTTTCCAGGTTTTCCTTTTTCTTTCTTTTTTATTTTGATGAGGTTATCAGGGTTAAGTGACATGACCAGGGTTACACAGCTACTAAGTGTTAAGTGTCTAAGGCTGGATTTGAACTCAGGGCCTCCTGACTCCAAGGCCAGAGCTCTATTCACTGCACCACCTAGCCGCCCCTTTCCAAGTTTTTCTGAAGTTCACTTGCTCATCATTTCTTATAACACAACAGTGTTCCATGACATTCATCTACCACAACTTGTTCAGCCATTCCCCAATTGATGGGCATTCCCTCAATTTCCAATTCTTGGCCACCACAAAAAGAGCTGCTATCAATATTTTTGTACATGTAGGTCCTTTTCCCATTTTTACGATCTCTTTGGGATACAGCCCTAGAAGTGCTATTACTGAGTCAAAGGGTACGCACAGTTTTATAGCCCAATGTGTAAGTGAACCAAACTAGATGCAATAACAGATAGCTAGCATTTCCCAAAAGCTATTAACTAAGCTACTCTCTTTATCAACATCGCTTGGGTTGAGTCATTTTACGACACATAGCTAGAGCTGGGATGTTCTTTGACTGTAACTTTTCCATTTATTATGAAATTATGAGGGGTTCTGTTTCATTCAAGAGAAACACTACTAGCTTTTGGTTGGCAAAATAATACCACGAAGTGACAGAAGCCCATGTCTATATAACATTTAAAATGTGACACTTACGGGGGACAGCTAGGTGGCACAGTGGACAGAGCTCCAGCCCTGAAGTCAGGAGGACCTGAGGTCAAATCTGGCCTCAGACCAAACACTTGACACTTACTAGCTGTATGACCCTGGGCAAGTCACTTAACCCCAACTGCCTTAAAAAAAAATTTTTTTTTAAGTGTAACACTGATACTTCTAACAATTGCTTATGGTTCTTTTGGGAATATAGAAACTTTCTATCTTTCCAGGTTCACTGTGGTTGTAAACACAGAGGATTAAAAAATAACTGTGTTTTCTGCTGAGAACATTGTGGGGCACAGGTACACTCATGCATTTCTAGTGGCAATGCAGATCATTGCAATCTTTCTGGAAATCAAACTGATAAAACATAAGAGCGAGAAACCTGATCACACACTTTGACCCAGTAATTCGATGACTGACGATAAATGAGTATCTCAAAGGGAACAGTTTTTAAAAACTTATATGTTCAAAGACATTTTTAACTAAACCACAAATAATAATGAAAAAGTGGAAATCACTTCAATTCTAAATGAATAAACAGACTGTGGTGTATCTCTAGAACAGAGTGCTATATTGCTATAAAAATGAAAAGGATGACGTATACACAAAACCTGTAAAAAAAATCTGCATAAAATAGTGCCAAAGAAAGTATTAACTAGGACATTATAACATGGATATTATAACACATGTACATCTGAATTGCAATCATCGGGATTAAAAAAATTATGCTCTAGTGTTTGTTACTTATAAGATAGATGCCACTTCTGTCTGTGTATAAGTTAACTTTTTTTATTAGTTATTGAACACAAAGACATTTCCAATACCACAAACACCACTGAATGGCAAATAGTTAATTCAAACGTCAAGGCAAAAAAAGTTTCTAGAACCCCAAATCCAGTTCACCCAAATCAGCTGCAGACTTTCCCTGGTTATCCTATTTTAAGACACAGAAGGAAGAATGACTCCCAGGGGCTTTCCTGATTTAGTATGTGACCTCCCATAATATGCTTCCTCTCTGCCTCACTTTTGTTGTTCACTTGCCAAACAATGAATCTTGTCCAAGGCTCAACTAATACCAGAATGATTTCCATCAGAATGTAAGCACAGTTTCTGTGCTTACTTACATAAACAGCCATTGGACCTGCCACTTGGAAGTGTGCTTTCTAATACGTGCCAACTTTTGCTTCCAAAGTAATAGAGGAATTCTGTGTTAGGATACTGATTACAATCCTATTATTGAAATATGAAAATATATCTTTTCACATGTGTTTTACAGAAAGAGAATTTCCTTCAGTATGGTTTCAAAATACAGTACAATTGGGCTGTTTTCTGAAATGTTTCTTCTTTGCATCTTCAGTGCCTAAATAAATCTTTTTTTGATGAAATGAATTAATTCTGAAAGTGAAAAAAATAATATCCTCATGAAGAACATGTAAATGTTCTCTACAAATACATTTTTTTGATGTAAAGCTGTATTTTTATTTCTCTATGCATGCAGTCACTGAATCTAATCCAACAAGTATTTGTGAAGTACCTTCAATGTCCAAGGGAGGGCAAAGTCTTCCTCACTAACTAAACTCAAACTTCCCACCATCTTACAAAGGGTCTCATCACGGTCATCTGAACAACAACATCACCAGTTCACATTTGTTTGCAAAGCATTTTTCTCACAACCATCTTGGAAAGTAGGTACCGCAAATATTCACATCCTCATCTAAGAGGCTCTCAGAGGTTCAGTGACTTGTAACAAAACTAATAACTCTCTTGTGGCAGAATTTGAACCTAGGTCTCCTGACCCCAAGTCCACTAATCTACGCAGCTTCTCAAAAACGGCAGCAGCTTGATTTTTACACACAAGTGAGAGAGAGAAGAAACAACTGCGAGAAGATCACAAGAAATGCAGGAGGGCACTTGAGAATCAGATTAGGAATGCACCCATTACACCATTTTGATCAATCTATTGTCTTTATTAAACTTCAGGGTTTGATGAATATTTGCACATTTATGGTAAAACAGGAATTCAGAATGCTGAGCTCAGATAAGAACACGGACAGCGATTAACAGCCCAAGAAAACAATGTTAAGGGCTGTCAAAGAAAGGTTTTGGTAATCTAATGTGATAAACTAGGGCCCCTTCCTATCTTATCTGCCCCAGTTCCTAGTGCTTCCCCTTCCCACAGTTATATAACAACAAGAACGACCTAAATTTCTCTAACAAGTTAAGGTTTACAAACCAATCTCCTTACAACCCTGTAAAGTACAAGTCTATTAAATAATCCCCACTTTAGAGACAAGGAATTGAAAGTTTGGAAGCTCTCAATTGTGACCTGCCTAAGGCCACAGAATTAGTGGCAGAACAAAGATTCAAAACAAGTTTGTTGACTCCAAATCCAATACTGTTTTTTATATTACCACAAAACAAACAGGAAAATTTCAGACAATGCAAGAAAATCATGTGGCAAATAATGGAGAGTGGAAATAACACTACACTTGGAATCAGAGGACCCAGGTTTGAATTCTGGCTCAATCACACTCATACTAGCTGTCTAATTTTAGGCAAGCTAATTAATCTCTCTAAACTCTAGTTATCTCCTCCGTAAAAACAGGGATAATAATATCACAAGGCTATTGTGAGGAACAAATGAGAACAGATGTAAACTGTCTTTCCCCTCCCCCCATGTACACATATAAAAATGTTATATGCTAAAAGTAGCATATAAGTGTCAGCTACCTCTACAATTATGAGAAATCAAATGAATGTACACTGCATGGATAAGTAATCAATTCTAGAATAAATAGAGATCAAGTCAGAATTTGCCCAATAATTATAAGACCCAGGCAACTAACTTAGCTATATTCAGGTGTATTTTTCTGGAAAGAATTGCATTTCAGTTTTGTTTTAATTCTCCTATTGTCAGTCAGTTTTATTTTTCACAATGGAAGATGATGGAGAATTGTTACATAAAGTTTGTCATCATTACATAAATGACATATATACATATAGAATGTATATGTAATTATATATATGTATGTGTGTGAAGACAGTTAAATTAAGAATATCTATATGTCAAAATGTAATGAAGGCAAACTCTTCTGAATCTAATTCGCTAAAAGCATTGAAGGGTCTACTTATAATATTTTGCAAAATAACCCCATGAAAAGAACATGAGAACTACAGAGTTAAGTTTGTGCAAAGAAAACAATGAGTAACTACCAGGTCTTAGGATTATAATGTCTAGACTGTCTATACCTAGCTCAAAGAGACCCTGGTAGTAAGTGGCTACATCACAAAGACTTAGAAAATACTCCTCACCTCCCCATGTGCTTACCCAACATTTACCAAGTGAAGAAGCTTTCAATCCAGGTGACTAGAACAGAATATGCCTTCTGACTTCTTCAATAACCATAAGTACTACATTTTCCCAAGATGATTTTATTAACGAAAAGTGCAAACTGTTTTGAACAAGAACCATGAATGATAACACTTAACACCAAAAAAATCAAGACACAAAAAAAGCAATTTTCATTAGATAAAACATGGGCAGATTAAAAGTCTTCCCTTCAAACATTTATATACAGTTATTTATCCTTTTCAGTAGCCTGTTACTTAATTTTCAATGTAGTTTTCACAGTCAATGTAGCAGCTCAAATACAAATGCCATCCCTCAAGGATAAGTTTGGCAATTACTTTCTCTCCAAATTGGTCCAAAAAACGAGGAAAGGAAGAAAACTCAGTTACACTAGGTTTTGAAACTTTCATGTGAATCATTAACATTTCTGAACCTATAGAAAAATTAAGTTAAATTAATAAAAATAGTGAGAGTCAGGGATACTCCCTCAATATCTGCTAAACATCTTAAGAGACAAAAGAAATCGAATTGCCTGAATATTCTGACAAGGGTTCAACACTTAAAAGAGTAGGAACCATGAGTAGAATCTTCTCTAAGAGTAGAATTTTCTCAAATTTGCCTAATTCTCCAAGAGGTTAAAAATGACCTGTGGAAAAAGTTGCACAATGGAATCATTTTGCGCAACTAAATTAGGGCATCTGCATTTTCAAATGAAATCAATTAGCTCCTATCAGTCAATGTGCCCCATCAGAGGATGGTTAGGGTTATATCACTTATTCACATACAAAGCCCATAGCACAAAAATCTATTCTTAAGTAATTTTTTCTTGGTCACTAAACAACATGCATGAATAAACTGCTGATTAAATGCCATCAGTAGGAAGGTGGTCATCTAAACTCAGATACTGAAGAGAACACCAAACAGACGGTATCAACACCAAGTTGGTTAATGAGTGCATGCACTAAACAAGTCAGGAAGATAGAAGTAAATTTCTGGCAATTTATCTCTCTTTCACTTGTAGAAAAACTGCCTTTTGTGAATGCAGGTTATTTATTGTCTAGAACTACTCTATTATTGTGTTACACATAGAACTCTTCTGATACAGATTCTTCTCTCCAGTGTGCACTCAATCCACAACCTTCTGTCACGGTTTCAGGAAAAATATTGCAGGTGGAAGGAATGGCAGCAAACAAAGGTCACATGTGATCATTCCTGGCTCTGATGAGAAACTTCAGCCACCATCTACTGCAAATTTCAGGGTCATGTTAGCTCAAAGCCAATGGCCTTGGTTTGGCAATTACCTTCCACTGCTCTCGCCAGTAGTGAAACTGAGGTCTTCAGGGCTATCTGATCACCTTCAGGAAAACTGGAACATGTATCTAAGATAAAAGTAAAAGGTATAGAAAAATTTTAAAACAGGAAAATGCATTTTTCTGAACACTTAAGTTGGCTATAGGTGATGTCAAAGTATTCAAAATGTACTAGATGACTGACTCCACCCTTGGAAATCTGTGACCTGAGCTCCTTGCAGCCACAGGGGGAGGGGGGAGAAGCCAGAAGCACAGTGGGAAAAATGGACCTTTGGATTCTATTTATTCTCCTGCCACTTTTTCCCGTCCTGTGGGCACTGGGAAGCTTGGGAGGAAGGTAAAGGGATTCAAATTTACTAAACATGATGAGAATTAAAAGACATCTTGACTCAAGGGAACATAATTTTTAAACATCTGCATATCACATGATCATCAGCTCACATTGAGAACACTACTTTTGTTGATGCCACAAAGACACCTCCAGGATAACTGGAATATGTGGTTAAGATTAAAAAGAAAAAGCAAATCTTAAAAAGGAGATGAAGATATTGGAAAGATATTAAAATTAACTGAATTGTCTTGACAGACAGCATGGCAGAACAGATAGAGGACTACAGGGCCTTACACAAAGTAGAAACTTAACAAATGCTTATTAGATTGGGCTGCAATAAAGAAGACTTGGTCTAAAGTCCTGCTCCTGACACAATGCATCACGAAGCGCAAGTGATTTAACCTCTTAGGGCCACTAAGCAACTTTCTCTGAATAGTACAATTTATGTGTGGGAGGAGTTTCCCTTCCAGGAGTTCCCAACCCAGATGAAAAAAAGAGGTGGCTTAAATGCATAAAATAATCAAACACTTCATCCTGTATCGGGAGAAAGAAGAACAGAATATAAGGTCAATAAAATATAAATATTAACCTGGCTAAGAGAAACTCAACAGTGCTATAATAGTAAGGACTCCTAAAAGTACATAGAGATTATTTATAAAATTCCTTGTATGATTTTGGTTATTTTCAACAATACTTACAAACTTTGTCTTAACCCAAGGATTTCAGCTTCTATAACTTCTCAGCAGACTATTCAATAGCTAACCTATGAAAACAGCCTCTTAGCCTTATACTATGTGATTTATACATTGAAAGTCATAGCACAAAAGGCTAAAACTATCTCTCAACAAGGAGCTATGTATCTGAATCCTGTATTTAAAAACCCCCACCACATATTCAATTCAGCAAGTACCAGGCTGGGTAACCAACAGAGCAGCCTCCACCACCCCAATATTTTTAGCAGCTTAACCTTCCTTCTTCACTCATGAAAACTGCATGGCATTCAGGTTAATAGAGCCCTCAGAGAGAAACAAGAGATGGTCTCCCTCTTCCTTAGAAAGAACGAAGCTTCCCCTGTGAAGCAGCTCTACCTTCCCCTGAGGGCTGTCCCATGAAGGAGTCATTAAATCCATCCAAAGGAGCATTCTCTTCCTGCTCTTCATTTTCAGTGTCACACTCAACATCACTATCACTGCTCATTCCTGGCAGGAGCCGAAGAACATGCTTCTGACAGAGAACTGCTGAAAGTGGAGAAAAATAAAACTAGCAACAAACCTCATGTACATTTTATGATGATGATGATGATGATCATAAAGAGCTAGCATTTATATATCATCTTTCAGGCGTGTAAAATACTTTTTAAATATCAATTCAATTTATCCTCACAATAACCTTCACAGAAAGGTGCTATTATTATCCCCCTTTTACAGATGAGGAAATTGAGGCAGACAGAAGTTAGATGACTTGCCTAGGGTCATACAACTGTTGCCTGAGGAAGGAGTTGAACTTAGGCCTTTCTGACTCCAGGTCCAGTGCTCAATCCACTGTGCCTTTTTTGTCTAAATTTTTAAACCATGAACCAAAACATAAAACAAAAACACATAAACCATGGTATGCCACAACTATGACACAATACAGTTTGGTCTACTTCTACTCTGAGTCAATTACCTACTCCATCTAAGGGATTTAGTTAATGAATCTGTTATAAGACTGTACTACGACACATTCAAACATCTGGATCTGTGACTGCATCACCAGGAGGTAAGGTGATCAACACTGTCAAATGCTGCAAAGAGGTCAAAAAGGAGAGGGACTGAAAAGTGAGGGCTATTTAAGAATGGGGGAGGGGCAGCTAGGGGGAGGCACAGCGGATAGAGCAACACCCTTGAAATCAAGAGGATCTGAGTTCAAATCTGGCCTTACTATCTGTGTGACTCTGGGCAAGTCACTTAACTGTGATTGCCTCGGGGGGCAGGGGGAGAATATGGGAGACATAGACATGTTGGTAGGCAGCATGAAAAGGAGAGATTGAAGATAAGAGAAAGAACGGGGGATTATAGTGGGAACAATCTTCAGGAGAAGTCAGGAGTGAATATGAACAAGGGTGTAGAGGGATTACATTTAGCAAGAATGTCTACCTCCAAGCCACTTCTTCATCTGAGATTGGAGTCAAGAAAGAAATAGTAGAGGAAAAAGTCAACGTCAGGAGGAAAGAAGTCCTTCTGAGGAGGGAGGAAAAGAGAAGGGGGAGCTCTCAGCAAACAGCCTCAAATTTTCAGGCAAAGTATGAGACAAGATGTTTATGAAAGGAACTGAGAAGGGATGCCAGGGGAAGCTTGAGCAAAAAGGAAAAAAGTTTGGAACAGCAACTGTGGAGAACAGGATTCAATTAAGAAAGATTAGAATGATAGCCTTACTTCAGTGAGGGTCCAGTTGAGATTAAATAACATAAATTTATAGGGGACCCAATCAGTATGACTTCATGATATTCTCAAGCTTTATTCAAGAGGATATTTTAAATAGGAGTCAAGGAGGCAGATGGTAGGAGTAATCCAGGGTTGGTAAAAGCAACAGAGGGGTGAGGACAAAGAACAATGTTAGGGGCCTTAAGATAGAGAAAGAGACAGAATGATAAAAGATTATAAACAGATTTTTAAAGTTCCCTGTTCATGTAAGGACATTTGTGAGTAACAGAAGAATCAAGGATATGACCATCTCTTTGTTTAGCTCAAATGGAGGAGTAGATCATGGGAACTAAGTACAGAGAGGAACTGGGAATGCCTAACACCATTCATCAATTCACTCAATGAAAACAATATTAGCAGAAACTACATTATAGGGTTTCATAGTTGCAGAGGAACTTCGTTCATGGTTGTACATGTCACTGTTAATAAACAGATCTGTACTGGAGTCTGTACTTCAATCTACCTTTATTACATTTACTCACCACACATTGTAACCTTTCTCTTTATTTAGCTCCAGCAAAATACCCAGCATGTGAGTAAAGTAAGCAGAACCAGGAGAACACTGTACAGAGTAACAGCAATATTATGCAATGACTGACTTTGTTAGACTTAGCTCTTCTGAGCAACGCAATGATCTAAGACAACTCCAAAAGACTCATGATGGAAAATGCTGTCCACATCCAGAAAAAGAACCAAGGAGACTCAATGCAGATCGAAGCATACTATTGGCTCTTTTTTTTTTATTTGTTTCTTCTCTCTTATGGTTCCTCCCATTGGTTCTAATCGTTCTTTACAACATGACTAATGTGAAAGTATGTTTAATATGAATGTATATGAGGACCCTATGTCAGATTGCATGCTGTCTTGTGAAGAGGGAGAAAATTTAGAACTCAAAATCTTATGAAAGTGAATGTTGAAAACTACAAATAAATTAATCAATTAATAAAAAAAATATCCAGCATGCATATCACTTGCTACCTGTGTGAACTGGGGAAAGTCACTTTCCCTTTCTGGGCATCAGTTTCTTTGTCTGTAACATGAGTCGACCGGACTAGAAAAACTATCCAAAATCCCTTCCGATTACAAATCTATGACCTTAGGAAATGAAGAAACATCCCTTTTATAGAGTGAATGTCTTCCACATACTTGTAATCTCATTTTTCAAATGTATATAGATGCTGCTGAGACGAACAAAATAAAAACTTGATTTAAAACTCTTACTGAATTCATAGTAGTCTTTTGTCAATATGTATTTTCTCAATCAATGGATGCTAATCAAACTATTACCTTGGGGGTGGGGTTTGTCTATGAAATACGACATTAAAAAGAAGCTGTCCTACTTGAAAAAGTTGGAAACCACTGGATCACATGATCTCTAAGGTCCCTCACAATTCTATGATTCTATTTTATGAAAAGAGATATAGCTAATCCTCTACAATCATACTAAACTTGTTTTTCTGAAGGTTACAGAACCCTCAAGCAAAACAAAACCAAAAAAAAGCTTCCCTAATAATTTTCAAAGGTTTTGAAATTCTAATTCACAATAACTAATGTCAATGAACAGCTTTTTAACCTGAAATATCTAATCTATTCAAGGTAATAGTAAATCTCTGAAACAATGAATGAATGAAAAAGCATTTGTTAAATGCTTACTATGTGTTTTTTTCCTGATTCCATATCCTTTATTCACATTTCATTTTTATTTTGCTTTTTTCTTTATTTTATATTTTGAGAATTGGATAGTTTGTCAAAAGTTTTTTCTGCATCTGTTGATATGATTTTTGTTCTTGTTATTAATATGGTCAACTATGTTTACAGTTTTCTTAATATTGAACCAACCCTGAATTATAAATGTAATTAGTACTAAGTCCTGGGAATACACACAAAGTGAGATAGTCTCTACTTTCAAGGAGCTGACCCCCTAAATGGAAAGAGAATACAATAAAGAAAAAGTTCAGCTCCAAGGCAGATGGAAAGGCCCAGAAGTCCTGAGGGTGCAGGCATGAGATGAATAGCAAGGTTGCATCAATGCTGGATAACAGTAGCAGAGTTTGCAAGGACACACAGTAAAGGTTCTTAACCTTTTCTGCATCATATACATCTTTCACAGTCTGATACAGCCTATGGACTTGCTCTCAGAAAGCTGGTAAATGCATAAATAAAATATACAAGATAACAAAGAAACCAAATTATAATGAAATATTAATATTAACAAATATCAATTTAATTATAATTAATTTTTGATAAAATTAACAAAATATTAAAATAACAAGTTTATGAACCTCAAGTTTAGAATACCTGTCACAGAGGCAAAGCAAACACTAAGGTGAGGAGGATCTCAGGAAGCAGTGACAGGGCATATGGTAAGGCCTGATGGTCCTCCATCTTATGGAAGTGAAAAAAGTTTGTGACTCCCATCTCACCCAAGCCTGTGAGCAGTAAAGCAGCCCAGATGGGTTCTGGGAAGCCAGAGGAGGTACAGAAAGGGGAAGGGAAAGAAGAAGGTGGCAAGGAGATCTTCCCACCACCCAGCTGTCCTAGACGAGCTCTGTGACAGGCTGGCTAGGTGACGGGAAGAATGGGAAGGCAAATGGAGGAAGGGTACTCCAAGTGGAGGTGTGTCTTCCAGAAGGCCAAGAAAAGCCAATTAACTCATCTATTTTGCTCTACTTCTTGTCCTAATTTTATCTCAGGGAGTCCTAGAAAAATACAGCATTTCTTAAGAAATTCCATACACAAATAAAATGACTTATTTAGTTTGGCTACAATGGTGAAAACACAGCCTTAATCTTTTCCCAAACAAAAGATCTAACTCATTTATTAATAGTTATATTTTCATTAAACATTTAAACAAATATTTTGGTTTAAAAAATTAAATTAAAACATGATGGGGGAGGAGGCGGGGGGAGGAAAGAGATAGCTAAAATTACCAAAGAAAATATTTTGATTCCTACTGACTTGTAAGTGGATTAAATTGTTAAAATGCTCTTTTCTGAAAAGCAAACTAACAGTTTGCAGAATAATTCCTCTCATTCTAAAGGAAAAAAGCAAACTAACAGTTTGCAGAATAATTCCTCTCATTCTAAAGGAAAAAAAGTTATCTCCTTTTTCAGAGTTCTGTCTCCATCTTGTGTTCTTTTACAGTACTGTTACTCAGGATTTTAACGGTCATTTTGAGGGTTTAGCATTTTAGGTATAAATTATTTTCCATGAATATACTGGCTGGACAAATTTAAGGGACTGTTGGGATTTTGATTTCTAGTTCAATAGTCTTTCTTCCCTTTCTCTTATCTCTCTACGTAGTACTACATAATCATCACATTAAATAAATGGCAAGCAATGCTGTTCTAAAAACCACAAATCTTTTTTTCAAACAGTCAGCCCTTTCCCCAGAAGATATGATCATAAAAAGATGATCAGGATTGATTTTCTACTTAATGAACATACATTGCCTATTCACCCACAGTAGCAAAGTGTGTTTCCAAACCAACCATGCAACAAATACTTTCTCAATTTATAGTAAAAATTATACTAAAGTAAAAAATATAATAAAAATTTACTATATTTATAGAAAGGCAGCATGGCCCAGTGGAATAACAGCACAGTGTAGGGAACAGACAATGAACCTGGATTTTGATCTTGCCTTTGTAACGTACTAGCTATACAGACCTAGCCAGATCATGTTCCCTCTACCACTCTCTGTTTCCTCATCTGTAAAATAGAAATAATAACAGCACCTATCTTGAAGAGTAATTGTGTGAATCAAGTAAGATGTGTATGAACTGCTTTGCAATTCTTAAAAGACTATACACATATAAGCTATTAGCTACTTGCTTTGTGTGAGGAATTAATACCAGGTTTTAAAGAAGAACTCATTTATCATAGATACCTGGAACTACACTAACTTCCATTATCCTACTAGAGCTTGATAGACATTTTCACATTCAGATTTCTGGGGTCAGGTATTGGTTATTTTCCAGTGAGAATGAGAGCCAGGTAAATTTAGCAAGAAAGAAGACATAGTAAGCAGTAAAGAAAGAAGACAAGGAAGGGTGCTAGGCACAACGTAGGCATTTTTATGCCTTTCTTATACCAGGTGTCAACACAAACGCAAACAGTGCAGAAAAATTCAGCAGTTCCTGGCATCTAGTCCCTACTATGCTGCCAGGAAGGAGGTCTAATAGTCAAATGGCCAACTCCTGAGAGAGGAGTTTTAAGTATCATTGTGCTAACTCAAAGAATCTGTGCTATTCTGGTTTGAGCTCAATTAGAACAGTCTTTCCATTTTTAGATAAAACAATCAAAAAATTGCCCTAATACTAGTAACTCCAGAGTTCATTTGTTTTCCAGGAGAAAAAACACCATCATTTTCTGTGTGAGGCCATCAAAATGGAAGTTTCAGACAAAGTTCCCCACACCAGTGAATGTTGACAGGTTTAAGGTAAAAGTTACATTTCATTTAGGCTCAAACTAATGAACACAACAGTTCCTGGCTTCCCAGCGAGTACCAACAACAGCTGTCCTCTGGAACATCACAAAGGCTGATTTTCCTCTCCAGGGCTACTGTCAGCACACTACAGTGATCTCTCACACAGAAAATTCTTCTGATGTATTTTACTCAAAGAAAGAGCTTTGTTTTCTCCACACTCAGATACAACAGGAACTGACTAAACTTGCCAGGAAGCCTTAAAGACATGGAATATCAAGGTTTCTTCCAAGGTGGCTCCAGCCAAGAGCAGAATGATACCCGTGGCTGGTACTGAGGCTCAAGACTTCTCTTTCAAGCAAAACAAAAACAACAAAATCCAAGGGGGACAAAAGCTCCTTTTCCTCTAAACTCTTCCCTCCTACCAGCCACACAAGGCCCTTTCTTTCCTCCCAGAACCTTTTCTGGGACTTCAGCTATATGCAAATTGCTTAGGTATTGGCAAATTAATCCAAGTATTGGGGGGGGGAGGTGTTAGGCAATGGGGTTAAGTGACTTACCCAGAGTCACACAGCTAGTAAATGTTATGTGTCTGAGGCCGGATTTGAACTCAGGTCCTCCTGAATTCAGGGCCGGTGCTCTATCCACTGTGCCACCTAGCTGCCCCAAGTATTTTTCTAATGTCCTGATAGTGTGGAATTGTTTTGCATTTATATGGCAACTTCAAGGAATGTAAGAACTTGATGAAAACAGCGATCTCCCCATATCATGTACCATGAAATGGAGTTGGTTGTTGTTGTTGCTGCTGTTCAGTCATTTCAGTCCTGTCTGACTCTCCGTGACCCCATTTGGGGTTTTCTTGGCAGAGATACTGGAGCAGTTTGCCATTTCCTTCTCCAGCTCATTTTACAGATGAGGAAACTGAGGCAGACAGGGTTAAGTGACTTGGCAAGGGTCACACAGCTAGTAAGCATCTGAAGCTGAATTTGCAAACTCAGGTCCTCCTGACTCCAGGCCCGGTGCTCTACCTACCATACCACCTAGCTGCCCCAACATGGAGGTGGGATGCACTAAAAGGTCCTATTTATAAAGACCCTCTTATTCCCCTTGCACATTTTAATACTTTCAAAGAGCTAAACTGTAAAGTTAGCCCCAAATGTGGTTAAGAAAATTATTTCTGAAACCTGGAAAGACTTGCATGGACTGATGCTGAGTGAAGTGAGCAGAATCAGGAGAACACTGTACACAGTAACAGCCACATTGTGCGATGACTAACTCTGATAGACTTAGCTCTTCTCAGCAATGCAAGGACCTAAGACATCTCCAAAGGTCTGATGATAGAAAATGCTATTCACATCGAAAGAAAGAACTATGGAGTTTGAATGCAGATCAAAGCATACTATTTGCTATTTTTTTCTCTTGTTTTGTTTTGTTTTTTCTTTCTTGTGGTTCCTCCTATTAGTTCTAATTCTTCCTTACAACATCACCAATGTGAAAATATGTTTAATAGGAATGTATATGTATACCCTACATCAGACTGACCTGCATCTTGGGGAGGGAGGTGGTGAGGCAGGGAGAGAAAAATTTAAACATCAAAAGCTTATGAAAGTGACTGTTGATAAATCAAAATGAATTAATAAAAAAAATTTTTTTTGCAGTTCATGAAAGGCAAAATACTACTAAATTAAGGGACTGGTTGAACTAGGTAGCTCCCAAAGTCCCCCTCAACGCTAAATTTGATAATTATATCAGTGTTATTCACATTTTAAAATAATTTATTTTCTCTCAAATAAATTTTAAGTCTAAAATCTTCTGTTGTGTATGCCTCACTTGCAGTGGCAACTTCTAATTAAATTTTACTCTAATTACTTAAATAATCAGAATTTAACTTATAAGAGGTAGACATTAATAGACAAGCTATATATGTAACCTAAAACATATACTACAAAAAAACCCAAAACAATGCAATAGCATTTTCAAATATCATTTAACCAACAAGAGGCAATAATGCAAGTAAGCCCTGCAGGTTTCTGTGTCTGTCCTTTTAGAAACATTTCCCAATTAATCCTTTCTCCTGGCATAGTGCGGCACCTACAGGAGCGCGCGGCATTGGTACTAAGACTGAAGACATTTTTAGCCTTCTGTAACAGAAAGACCTTCCTGCAAATGCCAACACCTACACAATGTTGCACACGGCAGCTAGAGATGAATGCTGGCATCCTAATATAGGCTTTGAACTACAATTCATCAGTCATTGAAATTCAAATGAGTGCAGAGGTGGAAGGCGGCAGACTTTAAGGAAGAAACGAACTTCTTTTATGTCAAATATCAATAAGAAAGTCAACATCCTTTTTTTCCCTTTAACTTCTAAAGGACATAGCAAGGGGAAATCAACACTTCCGCACAGATACCATCTGATCGAAGAGAACTACAAAATGTCTTCTGTGCCTCAGACAAGTAGAGAACAATGAACTTATCTACTTAAAGAAGTACTTACAACTATAACCAAATGTGGCTTAACAGAGAAGCAGTCTGTTATGAGTTGAGACTTTCTGAATCCTAAAAAACTCTGTTCACACAAAAAATGAGAACAAAGCAATCTGTGCTATTTTTCAAAAGTACACACAAAAAAATTAAGGTTGACTTTTCTATTAACTTATGTACATTTTCAACACACAGTAGACTATATGCATTATAAAAGACTTAAAGTCAATGTCACTTTACCTACTTAATACATAATACCTCTTTCTGTAGGATATGCATAACCTCTCTAAAAAAATTTGTGATGTTTTGTGCTTAATTAGCAAATATCAAATCCATAAAACAAAATGTTATGCTCAGACTGAAGGTTGCCTTACATTAAAGATTCCTCATAAAGTAAGCACTTTAAGAAACTACCCTCTCAGTACTACTTTCTAGACATAATTATTATGACTTCAACTTTTATTTACCTTCTTCAGGCACAGCTGAAGCCCCTTCAGGAAGTATGGCTTGTAACTCCCCAGTTTCAGAATTGTTTTCCATATCAGCTATTGGGGTCCCTTCTATGCGACAACCTTTAGCATTAGACCTTGGAATATGGTAAAGAGAGATAATTTTATTATATTTCTGTATTTAAAAGTCTATGACAATAAGTAGCATCATTTCTTATAATTCATTCATATCAGGTATATTTTATACACAAACACACACACATATGACACTGAGGAAGTCACTGAACCTCTCTAGGCCTCAGTGTTCACATGTGTAAAATGAAGGGGTTGGACCTGATGATCTCTAAGGTCCCTTTCAGTTTTAAATCTATGATCCTATCATCTTGTGCATTAAACTAAGGTTTACATAGAACTTTCATCCATTATACTCTTTACAAATCTAGACATAAATAATTAAAATTCAGCATTGACTTAGTATGACTTACGGAACTTTAGTATGATTTCTACCTTTTAAATATTTTATTTAAAATTATTTGCAGAAGCCTCCTAATTGGAAAAGTATAACAGCCAGGCCTAAAGAATAGTATCACATAGTATTCTGATATTGTCTATACCACTGACTTGGCTAACAAATCATTCACATTTATATGTAATGTGTAAAATAAGAAATAAAGTGCAAAATGTAGATAATATCTAAACACTAATGAATTACTGTAAACTAGAGGCAGCAGATTATCTGTGGATATTTACTAGCATAGATTAAATCATCACTATCAGATGTACTTACATAATAATGTGCTGGTCCTTTTTTAAAATACAGAAATAACATCGTTGACCTAACCCATGTAGGGTAAAATCAAACATGCAGAGTTGTTTTCCTCAGAGTGGAAACAGACTTGCATTGATGCTAGGTTAAAAGTACTTGTCTTTGGAAAAGACACCTAGCCAACACAAGGACTGAATTTATAACTTTAGATTTATTTGCTCTCACCAAGTGAGTTAATGAACTACATATATCGAGTAGCACAATAATATAATATCACTCTATTCAAATCCTTAGGGAATAAGCCCGAAGCATTTGTTTAGGCAGTAAAGAACACACACCTCCCCTACAATTTAACACACCAGATTAAAAATAACCTCTTAAACAGCCAGATTTATCCTAAAGCAAAAGGAGGGTGCATTGAAAACTGACTAGATAAAATGGATGGCAAGACAATGTTCAGTCACCATAAAATGTTTACTAAGCAGCTTATACTGAACTAAAGAATAAACCATATGTGGTGTAACATAACCAAGCCACTTCCATAATTATCCAACCTGTTAATTATTTTAAATTGATTGTACAGAACTTCTTAAGGAATGTCTCTAAACCTAATTCAAGGATCTTTCCAAGCAGATCCAGAAAAGGCTGTTTTTATTATTTAAAAATTTCTTCTATATCCATGCAGAGTAGAAAAGCAAATAGATATTAATGTCTCATTCATTATTTAATGAATCAGTCCTGAAAGGATGGAAGGCTAAATTGACAGTCCCAGCATCTGAATTTGTAACATCCGAAGAGGGATAAATGGAATTAAGCAATGCATACTTAACATTTTGGAAATTCTAACTCTATATCCTTTATGGGAAAATAAAAACAGAAACCAAATTGTTAGAGGGTCTTCACTGAACCTAAACAAATGTAAAGTCTTATGAGATATAAAAGATCATAGCCTTACTAAAAAGCATACAATAGCAATAAAGAAGCTGGCAAAAAAACCCAACAAAAAACCAAAACCAAAAAACCTCACTCCCATTAACTATTACTGTACATGGGCTTTAATTTGATCCCCGATATGAATACCTTTTGCTTCCTTCCACATTTACTACTGTCTTTTTTCTAGTCAAAATCAGGAAAGAGAAGTTCTAAAAACTTTTCAGGTATATAATTTTTTTCTATTTCTCTTCTTACACAGTTGAGAAAATGGGAAGTTTAATTTGTAAAATATGATAAGCATATATTAAGAAGCAAAATATTTAAAGGGATAACAAAAATAATTCTATGAATCACATGAACAAAAAGGATCTTAAATTTACCCCAATGTGACCATTTTTCTTGTCTTCTCCATAACAGGTAAGCCATTTAAACCTGCCACAATCAGGACATCTGGATCCAAAACTTCACACTGTCTGTCTTCTGTTTTGGTCAGTACCTCACAGATGTTGCCATGAGTCAAGGCCCGGGGTGGGCTATGTCTGCTACTGGACTGTGAGCTTCCAGGGCACCCTTAAGAAAAGGAATGTTCATAGGTTTATTGTAGTAAAATCAACTATCTCCTGAAAATACAGGCATTAAAACTTCTTTTAAGCATCCACTCAACTTATCTACATAAGATTCCCAAATTTGAAATATTTTACTGTTTAGAAATAATGAAAAAGCATATTAATGAACTAACATGACCCAGCTTGTACTTAAATTATTGTTATCTTCTTTTCAAAAAGCATATACTGATTATTAGCAACTGTACAAAAACAACAGGATAAAATACTTTAAAAAATCTTTGGTGGCTTATTCAATGCCTACTGAATAAAGTGTGTAAATCTCAAGCACATAATATGGCTCTAACCTCTCTGAACACTCTCACAAAATAGAATTTCTATTCACATAATCTACCTCACAATCAAACTGGACTAATTCTCCATCTCTTATTTTCTTCCTACTTGCCCCTGTTTCTATGCCTTTGCTCATTCCCTGTGAATCCCTGTGAATGGAATGGACTCCTTTACCCAGGTTTCTATTCACTGACATCCCTCTTCCTGCTTAAAGGCCCAATTCTGATGCCACCTCCTCCTGGAAGCTTTCCCTGCCTCTCCCCCAAATATGAGTAGTCACTTCTCCATTAAATTCTTCACAGAAGTTTGCCTGACCTTTTCTTTCAACCTCACCTCTCATGAATCTTTCTCCTTTGTTACTTATTTAAATGTATAGTTGTCTTTCTCCCTTACATCATAACCTTGAATGTTAGTAGGCTAATTTCACCTATAAAAATGAAGCCAAATGCAGAAACAAAACTCCAAAACCTGCTGCTTTAGAGAATCATACCTAAAACATAATGTTTTCATATAGATTCAAGGTAAAGGTTTGGAATATATAAATGGCTTCCTCCTCTAAGACTAAAGATAACCAGTTAACATTAGTGTCAGAAGATTCTTGTTCAACAAGTAGCAGTTACCAATTTTTAATGAAATCAGATCAATGCTAAAGCTGCCAACTTTTCAAATTACATCATGTTTCAACAGCTATTTAAAGAATAAAATAAAATTTCTTGAAAGCAGAAACTGTGTCATATATACTTTTATACCCCCAAAGTTGAGGCATTTTGCTTTGCATATAGTAGGTGCTTAATGCTTTACAATGAATTACGCATTTCAACACAATTTTTTTGTGTCTCTGTAGGTCCAGCAATAAAAACATATCAACATTCACTATCTATATCTACCTGAGCATTTCTGATTTACCTTCAGAGGAAGTCTGACAGTCTCCCTTTGGGCGATGATTGTTTTCCCCACAATCTACTGCTCTTCTTAGTGACAAACTTCCAGCTGTACCGGATCGGGGAGGTTTGGGAGAACTACTTTTCTTATTTGTAGCTGAAAAGACATTTTAATATTCTTTTTTGTATACAAGATATGAAATACTGTCTCGGCAAGGTATCCTCTGCAGATAAGGTTCCAACTGCTGTCTCCCAAAGAAAGAATTTCTGTTCCTTAATGATTTACAAAGGAGTATTCTAAGAACCCTTCCAGATAGGAGACTCAAATGAGTTTGAGCTATCATCAACTCAGCTTATAAAAAAAGAAATGGAATTAATGAGGGGAAAAAAATGAGAAATCATTGTCCTCTGAAGTAGAGATACTTGTTATAGTGGAAAGAACAATGGAATTGGAAGAAATGGGTTCTAGTCCTGTTTGATTCTGGGCAAATCCCATCATTTCTCTGGGCCTCACTTTCCTCAACTGTATAATGAGATGCTTGGACTAGATGATCTCCAAAAGCCCATCCTACTTTTAAAATTTTATGTATCCTTCTACTGAAATGATTTCCTCAAGTGAAAATTTGGCCAACATCCCCGAGATAAACTATCTTGAAAAACTGAACTTACTCCATTATAAGAAAAATGGTTCTTTAATGAGGACAAAAACTTCAAATTCTTTCCTAATAAGGCATCTAGAACTGGGCTGAGCCTTTGACATGCAGATGAAACTTAAAACAAGGTAATCTATAATTGAAAGCAAATAAGAAGGATAGTTCTGTGTAAACACCCTGGATCATAGAGACAAGTTCACTGTTGCTTTTATTAAAGTCATACACCTCTCATAAGAGTCACTGAAAAACATTATGACTATTGAGTTGAAAATCCACTGAAAAGGGAAAAGAATTAGATAATCTGAAAGACTGAAGGAAAGGGAGGATGGATGAAAGGAACTCATTTATTATAGCTAATGGTTGCTTGGATGGTTTTAAAAAAGTGTTCCTTGGGGTGGAACACTCCTGGTGTGGGCACTTACAGGAGGCTGGAGGTTTGGCTTTGGTTCCAGACTAGAGAGAAGAACTGGGGCAAGAGGCACTATCCCCCATGCCTCAGCACTATAGGTGATTACAAAAATTAAGCTATCACTACAAAAAAGTGCACAGGCAAAGGAGAAAGACCCCAACTATAGAAAATTATGGGAATAGAGAAGACCACAGTTCATCTTCAGAGGAGGATATTGAAGCAAAGAAACCCTCTTCTACCCCAAAAGACTAACGTCAAATGGTTACCTGCCCAAAAAGAATTTACAGAAGAACTTAAAAAAGACTTCAAAAATCAAATGAGAGAGACTGAGGAAAAACTAAAAAATAAATAAATAAGAGCAATCCAAGAAAAACAAGACAACTATGAAAAGAAAGTCAACCAATTAGAAAAGGAGATCCAGAATCTTAAAGAAAAAAATTGACACTTTGAAAATTAGAATTGGGCAAGGCAAAGCTGGCAAAGTTGTAAGAGATCAAAAAAAATTAAACAACATATAAAGAATGAAAAAATAGAAGAGAAAGTAAAATATTTTATAAGAAAAACAACTGATCTGGAGAATAAATCAAGAAGAGAAAACATAAGAACAATCGGACTACCTGAAAGCTATGGTCAAAAAAAAAGAATCTTGATACAATAATATAAGAAGTAATTACAGAAAACTGTCTTGAAGCATTAGAACAAGGGAGGAAAGCAGAAATAGAAAAAAATCCATCAATCACTACTTGAAAGAAATCCTATGAGGAAAACTCATAGGAATATTATAGTCAAATTCCAAAACCCCCAGTTCATGGAGAAAATATTAAGAGCAACAAGAAAAAAACAATTTAAATATAATGGTGCCACAATTAGAATCACACAAGACCTAGCAACAGTGACACTAAAGGACTGAAGGTCTTGTAACACTGTATATTGAAAAGCAAAAGAACTGGGGTTCTGGCCAAAAATATCATACCCAGCAAAGCTAAGCATAATCCTGAATGGAAAAAAAAATGAACCTTTGATCAACTGTCAGACTTTCAGGACTTTGTTAAAAAAAAAAACAAACCTGAACTTAACAGAAGATTTGACATATAAGAGCCAAGAGAAACATAAGGTACATACCAAAAACTGATCACAAGGGATTCAAAAGGACAGACTGTTTACCTTTTATGTATGTAAAATGTAAAACGTTATGTTTAAGATCAGTCATCAGTAATTCGGTAGTTCATAAGAAAGACTGGGGTAGATCTGAGTGTGATACGACTTTAAAAAGTAAAGCCATTTAGGAACAGCTAAAAAGAGTAATCATTTTATACAATTGAGGTGCAAGAGGAAGAATGACACAGAGGAAATGGAGGAGGGCTGGTAGTTCTGGTAACCTACCTTCATCGGGAATGGGTTTAAGAGAGAACAACACATACATAGATACAGATATAGATATAGATATAGATATAGATATAGATATAGATATAGATATAGATATCTAACAGTAAAAAGGTCTTCTAAATTCAGAAGAAATATAACAGTAAGGGGATAGAGAGGGGGGAGAGGATAAGGGAGGGATCTCTAGAAGCGAGGGTGAGGGATGAGGGAACAGGTTATATATGGGTGTTTAGATTTATGGGAATGGGAGGATAGATCCGGGAGGGATCCTTTGAGGGGGGCAGGCTAAGTAATAGGAAGGCAAAGTAACAGGCAAAAGTAAAGTAGAGGAGTCAAGGAGGACAGAAAACAAGAGATATGAACAAACATAAAAACAAAGATCATGAGTAGAATTTGTTAGGGAAAGTATATGTCTATATATGTATGTATATAAGTGTACATACGTATGTATATATCTATATTTAGAAATATATCTGCACTTAATTATAGACTTCAGTGGGGAGGAGGTCGAAAAAGAACAAAGTAGAAAGTGCACAGCAGAGAACAAAGAAAAACTTACAAGGAAGCAAAGAAAAGACGGACTGCTCTCAACACAACATGTAGTATTTATCATACAGGCTTTCTTGAAATGAAAATTTACCATTATATATTTTTTATCTTCTCTTATGTTCTGCTATGCACATGACATGCCTTTTTTTTCTTTTCTTACTTTATATTTGAGTTCCAATATTTAAGTTTATATTTTTTCCCCTCTCTTCTGTATTTGTGTTCTGGTTTCGAGTCTAAAATAAAATTTTAAAAAATAATAAAAAAAAGTGTCTCTCTAGGTTTTTCTCTTGTTGCTACCTTTATCAGAGAGAAGCTAGCACCTTAGATGCCCAAAGAGTTCTGAGACAGTTATTTCCTGTTCTTTTTAAAGTACTAAAACATAGGGCTACCCTTAACCAGGGCCCCAGGTAGCAGTTTACTGGCCCATAGACAAATAATGGGAAACAAAAGAGGGTAGGCAATGGGGATCCTGGAAACAGCATGGCTTACAAAGGGAGCATTCTTTCCTAAAATCAGATCTGATAAGGTAAGGTATAGTGTCTGACCCGGAATAAAGGTGTACAATAACCTTTAACAGCATTAATATTTGCATAACAAGACAGGCCAATCATTTCTCAGATGTTTTAAATAGGAAAATAAAGGACAACTGGCTTCTGCAGTGGGGCTACAGGTTCAGCCTCTCCCACTGCTAATTCACTATACATAGTGTATAATTCCCCTCCTCTTCACTCCACCATCTGCTCCACCTCCATGATAGCTTCCTTTCCTACCTAAGCATAACTCTGCCCTGAGGAGACCTCACTGATTTGTGAGTACCTACCCAGGACTTAAATGTCTTGAGAAGCCCCACCCTGCTGCTCATTTTGCTTCTTGCTTACTCTCTCTGGTCTGCACCATCTGTCGGGGATGGGGTTCAAACCCAAGATACCCGACTCCTCATCCTAGGTTCTTTCTACTGACAGTGCTTCTAATGCCTTAGTTTCAAAACTGACCAAAAGGAAAATGGCATTACAAGCTCCTTTCCCACTTACAGTTCCTGATGTAACAACTTGTAACTGACGACTTTGTCAGAAGTTCCATTCCCAGATCTTGTAATTTGCCACAGCTTTCTGTTGTACAGGCAGCCAAAGACATCTGATCAGCAGAAAAAGAGTTGGGCTGGACATCACAGGACCCAACATTGCTGCTTCTTACTTCTGATAGTTGGTTCTTTACATCAGACATCTTGCTTCTCACTTCAGCCATTTGCGTTTTGAGTCTCTTTAGCATCTTCAAGTCTGGAGGCACTCTCCACATTGCCTGTTGTCTCCTCTGATCTTTATCTTTTCTGGCATATGAGGCTTCAGGGAGAAAAACAGGCTCCCTTAAAACTTAAGTTTTAATAATACATTTAATTGCCTCCTATCCTATATCGCAGACCTTTGCATGTCACAATATACACAGTTACAAAGTATGCATAATTGCATCAACGAAAATCAAGATAAAGACACAGTCACATTTCAGCCTATTTGAGCCATATTCAACTCAACCATTCAAATTAGCCTATGATTCTCCAGTTTGAATTAAACATAATTTGAAAATTCCAAAATGCGAAGTTAAAAGCTACATTTCCTGGACACTAACCTGTGGAAATTCCTTACGAATATAAAATTTAGGATCTGGCAATTAGTTCTGTTCACTGTATATCATTTTTCTTTTTTAAATTGTGATTAATGTAATGAAAGGTCTGGCTCAAAGTATTTAAAGTAACAAGAAACTTGTATTAGCTTTTTGATAACTTCTGAGAAAAAAGAACTCATACTATGGAGACTATATTAACTTACACACTCTGCTTCAACACTAGAATAAGAAAAACTAAAGCAAAGGGAACTAACCACAATCTTAATAGCACAAAGATTTAAAATGAAAAAACACTGAACAGCCATTTGTTTTTAAAATGACAAATGGAGCTATTTCACAACCAGATGGTCTACTATTTCTGTTCCACTCTATTAAGTCAACAACCTGTGATTTCAGATTTCAAAGGGACCCAAAATGAGGGACTAGTTCCCTGTCAATTAATGATATTAGTAACATCTTAACCTGTCCAGCAACTTTACCTATCAATAGAAGTTCACATGTATATAATATTTTACTATTAATAAAGCATTCCCCTCATAAAACATTATTTGCAGGTAGCACAAGCATTATTATCCTCATTTTGTAGATAAGGAAATAGGCGTTAAGAGGTGAGCTGATTTGCCCATCGTTAACAAGTAGCAGAGACAGGACTAGGTCCCAAGTCTTGGCTCCCCCTGGGCTGTATTACACTACTTAACTGTACCACGCAGCTAAGAATCAAGAATGCAGCAAAAAAATTCTCAAAACATTAGATAAGGTTATTTCCAGCCCTAAGTCCCATGATGCTATGTCAAAGTCCATGCAAGTATCTTTAAAATAAGTACAGTTTAAGAAAGAACATGCATTTTTGTTCATAATCTCCTTGCCACTGCAAGCTTTCAGGAGATTAGAAACCAAAAAATTTGAAAGGGAGAAAAGCTGCTAGACAGAGAGGTACAGTGAGAGAAGCAAAAAGGGATAGCGAACATATCAAGGAAAGAGAAAAAGCATAAAAAGATGACACAAGAAACTAAAAACTCAAAGAAATTTAGTGTTGGAGTGAGTACACAAGCAAACTGCCCTACATATTTTGGTAGGCTTTAAATACCTTCCATATTATAGCACAACAATAATAGTGCTTAAAAATGATGGAATCATAGAATTAAGAGCTGCAAATTACCTTAGAGAGCACCCAATTCAGCAATAATGCAACAAATATTTACATCAAGTATCTACTGTGTATAGAAAAACTCTGACCTGGGACCTAAAGATTAAAGGAGACATGGACACTGCCTTGAGGGGCATTACAACCAAGTAGAGAGGGAAAGAGTAAACAAAGAATTACTGTATAAAATATTAAAAGAAAAGTACATTAGAGAGGAGTAGAAAGAGAAGCAAAGTGCTATGTGAGGTTAAAAGAAGTGACCAAGAGGTTGAGGAAGGGGAAGGGAGAAAGAGGTCATGATCCCAAATCATTAAGAAAAAGTTAAAGCTTGTTCTGAATAATTTATGAAAGTTGAAAACTCTGGATTAATTTTAGAAAAATTGCTATGCAAAATGGTGAAAACCTATTTTTTTTTAAAACTAGTGTTTAAAAGTGATCTACACTGAAAATTTGGCTACCAAAATGATTCATAACCTCCCTCCCCCAAAGAGCTCTGGGTAGCTGGAATTTCACATACAAACACTAATTCCATTAAATTTATGTTATTAAATGCAACAGTGTTTCCTTGAATCTGAAAGAGTCCAAGTAACCTTTATGAACAATGCTGCATTATTGAAAGACATAACTCTTAAGGAAAATACCTTTATAAGCATAGAACAACACTATAGCACTTCTCTCTCTCTCTCTCTCTCTCTCTCTCTCTCTCTCTCTCTCTCTCTCTCTCTCCCCTTCCCACCCCCACCCCCTACTATAAACAATCATTTGGTAAAACATTTATATAAAACCCCACCTGGAAGGGCCTAATAAAGTTTATTCTAGGCCTACAACCCTATGAAAATTTTGCAAAGCATACCCAACTCATCAAAACAATAGCTCAGAAATGTATACAATACTTTTATTATTGATTTGTTAGTCTCAGAGAATCTAACTAACAAACAAATTAACATACTTAACATTATACTTACTTTGGTACACAAAGATATTTAAAGGAGACCTCTGAATAAAAGTTTAAGTTGTAATATTAATATAAAAAAGTCGATGGGTTACTAAAATCTCTCCCCATGCTAATATTTAAAAGAGCAAAAGTCTGTCACACAGAGATCTTCTCCACTACCAATTAAAGTTAAACTTATTCACATTAAGTTAAAGATAATGAAAAAAGTTTTGGTTTATTGTTGCTGTTTCTTACCTGTGGACTGTAGCAGTGAAGCAGGTGGACGTGGCTGTAAGCCCCATAAATTTTCCATACTGCTCCGGTCCTTAAGGTCCAACAAGTGTATTAAAATTAAGGGATCAATATCTAATAAACTGCTACTAGCTGCAGACCCTGTATTTCCAGCTCGCCTTGAAGTTCTGCGGCTTGCACTTGCATAACCATGGCTACTGCCTGCAAGAGAAAAAAAAAGTGGGAAACAGGTACTTCTAATCTGTTTATTTTTTAAAAACAGAAGTATAAATGTTTACATTTTAGCGAATATATGCCCACAGTTCACTTCTCAGTAGCATCTCTTCTGTCCATAGTGATATATGCTATACATCATTAGACTACAAGTCAGAGATCAGCAGAGACCAGCACAAGGCTTATTAGTCCCACCATGCTCAAGGCCAGTAACTGCCAGTCTAAGAAACTGTGAACAATCAGAGTAGGTACCACCACTGCTTCTTTACATAAGAGGGCCAAGGTGGCAAAAAAGCCTCTCCTACTACCTATCTCTCCTCTCATGTTTGATTTGCTCCTCTACCTTGGCAAAGATCAAGGAAGCATAATTTGAAACAACTCTCAGGCTCCAGGGTGCTGAGTGGTAGTGTAAGGTTGGGTAGTAACTACAGAAGAAGAGTACCATAAGGTCAGAACCAACTTGTATAACTCACATTACTAGGGTCCCCAGCTGATGCCATCTACCTCTGTTAGGTGCAAAATATGGTCATGAAAAATGTCATGATGTTTTCTGCATCCAATTTAAAAGTATTATGAGGATTTGGTCTGCACTCTCAAAGGCAACATAAAATTAAGGTAATAAATGTCATTACTCACTGAAAGTATTTAAAAATAAAACACAATGCTATAATCTAAATTTATAGGGCAAGCCTCACTTAAACTATCTATGTATCCTCTCCCTAATGGCCAGTGTTATTCCACTGTATTCCCTTCAAATCTTCACACCCTTAATACCATCAAAATTTATCCTTCCTTACAGTAAGTTTTATCAATTTCTGGGAGACTAGAGCTCTCAAATTCATCAGATCAGTGTAAAATGAAAACACTAACACAACATTTGCATCTTAAAAGGGCCCTTCAAAGACAAAAATGTTAGATACTCTGATGGCGGACTGATAGAGGAGCTATTTGTAATAAGGGAAGGGAAAAGGTCTTAAGAGGTACCTCTTAAATTATAGGCCACATGAACGGCAGCTTGATGTAGCATAAGAGGATATGGATCCGGAATCAGAAAACATAGGTATGAATCCTGGGGCATTTAGTTGGTGTACACTGCATTGAGCGCCAGGCCTGGCGTCAGGAAGACCTGAGTTCAAATGTAACCACTGACTAGCTGTAACTCTGGGCAAATCACTAAACCACTGTTTCAGTTTTCTCTTCTGTAAATGAAGATGATAATAGCACCTACCCCCCAGGATTATTTTGAGGATCAAATGAGATCATAATTGCAAAGTGTTTAGCCAAGTGCCTAGCATACAGTAAACAATATATGTTAGGTGATATTATTATTGTTGCTATTGTTATTATTATTATCATCATCATCATCATCCTAGATCTGCCCACTTGCCAGTACTGTGACCTTGATCAAGATAAATCAATTTATCTGGGTCTATTTGATCATCCTAAAAATTACTAGATAATCTCCAAGGTCTCTTCCAAGTCTAAGATTTGGTACACTGTTTTATGATTACAAAGCACATTCTGTACCTTATCTATTTGAGCCTTACCATAAGCCTGTGAATTAGGTAATGAAACTATTATTTTAATTTCATTGATAAGGAAACTGAGGCTTACCTAAGACACTTGATCAAATTTCACAGCTAGTAATGTGTCAGTTCTAGAATATTTTATACATATTCTTCCAGAAAAATAGTCACGATCTATCATCTGATATCACTTTTATTCTAAAAAAATTAAGCTGTTTCCTAAAACACTTAGCAAAAGGAGAGAAAAAAAAGATTTTTCTTCCTCACAACTAATTCTATGAACCTTATTTTTTATCTTCATGTTGAGGGCTTAGGGAAAACATGCTTTAAAAGAATTATGCTAACCAGGAGAATGCTATACACAGTAAACAGCAATATTGTATGATGATCAACTGTCAATGACTTAACTATTCTGAGCAATACAATAAGTCAAGACAATTCCAAAGGACTCATGATGAAAAATGCTATCCACCTCCAAAGAAAGAAATGATGGAATCTGAATGCAGATTGAAGCATGCTATTTCTTGCTTTTTTTTGTAGTTTTTTTTTGGCGAGGGGAGGAGTCTGTTTTCTTTCACAATATGACTAATACGGAAATGTTTTGCATAATTACACATGCACAACCTACATTAAATTGTTTTCTGTCTCAGGGAGGGGAAGAGAGAATTTGGGCCTCAAATTTTTTTAAATGTTAAAAATTGTTTTTACATGTAACTGGGAAAAATATTATTAAAAAATAATTATCCTATGACTCAGACCCAAATGAATGTCACATAGGAAGATATTTATGAGTAATTTATATAGGAGGCTCAGAGACACTTGAAATTTTTTTCAAAAGTACCCCTTTCTTTAATAAAGCATGCAACTAAAATTTATGAACTAATATTTACTCACTACATGTTATGTAGTGTGCTCAACTATCTTTATAAAGACAAAATGCCACATAAAAAATTCATCATACACAAGAATGCAAGCAACATGGTGTCATGGAAGGAGACCTGTTCTAATACTGATTCTGCCACTTACTATAAGCTGTGCTGACTATAGTCAAGTACATAACATATAAAACTGAAGGGTAGGAGAAAAAGGGAAGGAGAGGAGAATTTTCCATTATGTGTGTGTATGCATAATAACAATCCACACTTACGATTTTTATTGGTATAGGAATTCCTTGGTATGATGAGAAAACTCCCTCCATTAATATATGGAGGTGATTTATTTTGACTTCATCTCAGAGAGATGCCTGGGCCACTTAAGAGACTGTTCCTTACCCAAGGTCACATCATTAGTTTGTGTAAGATGCAAGACATGAACACTGATCTTTTTGACACTAAATCTGGCTCTTTATTCACTATAACTATGCTGCCTATCTCACTTTTTACATATTACTGGGTACTGCTTTATTGTTTCTTGAGCACTTTCCTCAAAATAACCCATGCAGGTAAATATATTAAAATTATTATTCCCATTATACAAATGAAAAATATGCATTTAAATGAGAATATGCATGTAAAATATGAGCTATTAGGACAGAGACACTAAGAGAAATAACTTGCCCGATACTGGAAAGAAGTTCAGAATTACCTTTTTTTTAAAGTTCTACTCACTAATCAAGCGACAAGCTATAATTATAAAGTGCCTACTATGTGTTAAGCTTTATGCTAGGGGTTATTATAAAAGCAAAGAAGGAAAGAATCTATTTTCAAAGAAGTTACTATTCAAACAGGGGCAAGTACATATAGAATAAAGATAAAGAGAATAAATAAACAAAGGGTAATTTTATTTAGCATGATACTTAGAGGAAAAGGGTGTTGCGGGAATCAGGCCTTTATCTGGTGCTATTTGGGTTTCTTAAAGAAAAAAAGAAGTGCCTAAGAAGAAGAGGTCAGGAGGGAGTGAATTCCAGACATGGAGACAGGAGACAAAATAAGAACAATGGTTTCATTTGTAAAGAACAAAGAAAAGGCCAGTTGGCTACACCATGAGGAAAGAGGAGTAATATACAATGAGGCTGAAATACAGGTTGGAGCCAGGCTGTTAATGATCTTTAAAAACCAAAAAGAGCTGAAATTTTATCTTAAGAGCAACAGAAAGCCACTGGAGTTTACTGAGTAGAGGACTGACACAGTCATTCCTATGCTTAAGTAAAATCATCTTGAAAGCTGTATGGAAGATGGATTAGAGCAAGAACAGAAAAAGCATGGAAATTAATTAGTAGGTCAATCAAAAGCCTAGCTGAGAAGTGATAAGGACCTGAACTAAACTGGTGGTTCTGTGAGTAGATAGAAGAGAGATGGTTTGGGACACACTGTTATTTCCAGAGCTCTTGGGTTCTGAGTCCTGGAATATCTACATCAGAGTCAGGGGAAAAAGGTGGTAGAAGTAGGGGCAGTGGTTCGACTCACCTCACTGCCCCCTATCTCTCTCTCAGGGTGCTTTGCTATTTCAAAGGCATATGTAGAGAGGCTGACCTTGTTAGGAAGTCACCTCATTAGCAAAGACTGGGGGAAAAGGGAAATATAATAGGGGATGATGTCAAGGGATTTAAGACGAAGAAATGTGAGAGGAAAAAAAAGAGGGAGCCTTTGATAAATGATCTCAATTTTCTTAGTAAACTAAGAGGCAAGTTATTCTGAGAGATTAGGGTGAAAGCAAGGTGTAGAAATTTATCCAGCTATAAAACAAGATAGACTTTATTTTCATGTATAGAAATTATCAATATTCCATAAATCAAACAAAAGAAAAACAAGATTCTTGAAATATATTTACACATGATAAAGTATGACAACAAAATGACTAACATACTGAAGAGTTTATATGAATAGACTTCTCATTTGCAAATTTGTAAGCACACAGACTGTGAATTATTGTAACTTCTGCCAAAAGCTTAAACATCTATAATTGTTTGTTATGAGGAGTTCAGGTTCTATTTCTGATTCAGGTCTACAATTTATGGATTTTACTTCCCTCACTTAAGCTATTATTTAGTAGTTGTGGAAGCACATGTGAAGAATACACATATGTTCATAGGCCTGGGGCAACATCAATAAAGGGAAAGCAAAGAAATGAACCTTTATTACCTTTTACTAATCTAATCATGTAGATTCAACAACAAAAACATTGACATCCACTAAAAAGGGCCAATAATCCTTTCCAGTGTGCTGTTAGAAGAGAATGATGAACCAGGAATCAGAGAGCTGAGTTCTGGTCCCAGTTCTGTCAGTCTGATAAAAGGCAAGTCAAACATCTCTGGCATCAGTTTCCTTCTCTACAAATTTAAAGACTCTAGCCACAACTCTCTTTCTCCAAAACAATGTATAAATAAGATATATCATCCATGACTCCTGATACTAAAATTTTTTAGTTACCTAAACATCATGAAAGAAATAAAACAAGACAGTGCCAATATAAAAACAAGATTAAGTCATATCAAAGTTTAAGACTTTAAAATAGCTCAATTGGCTTGATACTTCTGTACCTGAAGCTCCAGCAGCAGTTGTATCTTCCATGAGTTCTCCCTCTTCTAATTCCATGTTATTACTATATTCCACATCATTCTCCCCAGACCTAAGAAAGTAAGATTAATTATCACTATGTAATCATAAATAGACCACCAGAATAAACTGTACACGCATACTCCATTTGACAACTTTAATTAGAATCACAGAATGTCAGAACTGGAAGGTACCTTAGAGATCACCTAGTCCAATGGTTCCCATTCAATGGTCTGAGAGTCTCTTGGGGGTTTCACAATGATGGTCCACATGTTAAAAATTCTTTAATGGAGTCCTCAGCCATAAACAATTAGGAGGAGAATATTATGAATAGTACATTAAATTACCTCTTTTCTCAAATATAAAGAGTGCTCAGTCAAATTTACAAGAAGAATTCCCCAACTGATAAATGATCAACAGCTATGAACAGGCAGTTTTCAGATGAAAATATCAAAGCTATTTATAGCCATATGAAAAAATACTCTAAATCACCACTGGTTAAAGAAATGCAAATTAAAACAACTCTGAGGTACAACCGTTCACCTATCACATTAGCTAATAAAATGGAAACGGAAAATGACTAATGCTGGAAGGTATGTAGAAAAACTGGGACACTAATGCATTGATGGTATAGTTGTGAATTGATTCAACTATTCTAGAGAGCAATTTAGAACTATGCTCAAAGGGCTATAAAACGAGCATACCCTTTGACTCAGCAATCCCATTAACTAGGTCATTACTTCAAAGAAATAAATTTTTAAAAAGCAAAAAGACCTATATGTACAAAAATATTTATAATAGCTCTTTCTGTGGTGGTAAAGAATTGAGGGGATGCCCATCAACTGGGGAACAGCTACACAAATATATGAAGGTAATGGAATATTATTGTGCTATAAAAAATGACAAGATGCTTTCAGAAAAACTTGGAAAAACTTACATGAACTAACGCAAAGTGAAGTGATCAGAACCAGAACAGTATATACAATAAAAGTCATATTGTTTGATGATCAACTGTGAATGACTCGGCAACCAATAATTTCAACAATCAATGATTCAAAACAGTTCTGAAGGACCAATGATGAAAAATGCTATCCACCTCCAGAAAAAAAATGATTAAGTCTAAATGCAGATCAAAGTATAGTTTTTTTTAATGTTTTTTTTTGGGGGGGGTTCCTTTGGTCTGTTTTCTCTCACAACATGACTAATACGGAAATATATTTTGCATGGCTGCACATGTATAATCTATATCAAATTGCTTGTCTTCTCAATGAGGGTGGAGGGAATCTGGAACTCAAAATTTTTTAAAATGAATGTTAAAAATTGTTTTTACATGTCATTGGAAAAAAAAATCATCCCTCTCTCAAGCTCTGTCCTTTGATTAGGTTTTGCAAGATTAAATTATTAATTAATTAAATACATCCTTAGTGAACTGTAACTCCCCATCTCTAGCTAGTAAGCAAGCCTTCATCCTTGAATTTTAAGCTGTAATCTAGAACTCTAAACCCTCTTCTCATATACCTCCTTGTCAGCCAGGGCTTCCTTCCTATCACTCTCCTCATACACCAAGGCTTTTTTTATCCCTGCCTCCCTGTTCTCCATCCACACTCCAGACGGTTCTGCAAACTCTTTGCCCAAGACATCATGATTGCTGGTACTTTAGCTTCTTCTGGTAGTGTCATCTGCACCCATCGTAATCCCCAGAAGTGGGCATTTGTCACCCATGTTGATAAATCTTGGGACAGTCTCTGTTATGTCTTAGATCTATGCCCTAGGAAGATAAAAGACCTCTCTACTCTAATCACTTCAACAAATGGCTTCTTCAGGATCCCTGATCCCTCAGAGAGTCACCAATTCCTACTTCCCATTTCTTCCTCAGAAACTTACTGGATGACCTCTCACCTTTCAGTTTCTGTGCCTCCTCTCTATCATTCTTAGGAGGACAAGTAGCTTCTTCCTCCACGAAGCATCTAGTTCCTTCCTCTTCAGACAGAAGCTCAAATTTTAAAACTATTCCTTTTCCTTTCTCCTCTGTATTTCAATCTTCCACTCTCTACCATCCTGACAAGGATAATTCCTCCACCTCAGATCTCTTTTTCCTCACAGAACACTTACTTTTCCTTCAGAAACAGCTTGCTATTCCTAACAATCTTTAAGTAGACAGAGCTCCCGCCTTGGAGTCAGGAGGACCTGAGATCAAATCCGGCCTCAGACACTTGACACTTACTAGCTGTGTGACCCTGAGCGAGTCAATTAACCCCGACTGCCTCACCAAAGAGAAAGAAAAACAACAAAAAAAAATCTTTTTAGTCATTCTTTAAAGAGTTATTCTTTAAGTCCCTTTCCCTTCTCCCCAAAAAGATCAGTCTATACGCAGAACATGGATAATTACTCAGCTGTGGTAGAAACACAAACATTGTTTACTAGATTCAAGTCACCAGACGATTTTCCATGTTCTATGTACCAGCTGGGATTTTCACCTTGTTTGTTTTTTTTAATAATTACAGGTAAACTTCAACCATAAGCACTCTGTTAAAGCCTTTAGAGCCAAGTATTACCTCCTTAATAAGATGACAACTCTAACTTCCTTTCCTTAATCTCAACAATTACACACAGTCCCACCTACTTCCTCTTCAACTTTATGTACCTGATTCATCCACTTGTCTGACCCAACTGAATTGACCATTCTATCAATTTACTTTATCCCCTTAATTGTTGTACTTACCTTTAAAAAAAAATTACCCAGCCTAGTCTTGCTAACAACTTTTGCTTCCTTTCCTTTTCAGATTCTATAGTTTAATCCTTCTTAACCCTTTCACGTTCTCATAACTGTTCTTGTTCCTCCTTTTCTTTCAACACAGAAGCATAATTTAGACCAATATATGGGCCTGGATATTCTTCTTCAAATATTTTTCAATTTCTCCATATTTCAACATACTTTTCCTCTCTCAATTCAAACTATAACCTATTTCATTAATCTACCTTCCAAGTCACCTACATAATTTCCTTTTCCTTCATATTTAGCCAAGTCCTTCTTCTTTCTTCTCCCAATCCTTTTTCTACAACCTCATCCAATAGAAGCTGAAAGGAGCAATCATCCTTACTGTCTGTCCACATTTACTGAATTAACCTATACACTGGAATGTTTTTCAGAAGGTGAGATTCCTTGAGTTGATCCATAATTTGGGTATTATACAAGAATTACAATTTTATAATGACATTATATGTGTAATTTTAAATACTGTTTATGCCTAGAATCCTGTTCAAAACCAAGCATTAAGGAGAGCAACTTAGCATAATGTTTTGTATATAATAGATGCTGTGGAAGAAAACCAAGCTAAGGCTTTGCTGAATTGAACTGTGGTTTGGGTTGATGAAGCATCATGATTTGATGACAGAAAATTTGTAGGCTTTGAAATTAAGACCTCCCCAGGAGTGGAGCCAAGATAGTGGAGTAAAAGCAAAGACTTGCTTGAGCTGTCCCCCAAACCCCTCCAAATATCTGTAAAAAACGAGTCTAAACAAATTCTAGAGCAGCAGAACCCACAAAAATACAAAGCAAAACAAATATGTAGCCCTGCAGCCCAAGACAACCTAGATGGTTGATGGGAAAGGTCTGTTGAACAGGCTGGGAGAGGAGTGCAGTTCAACATGAACCATGCAAGCAAAGACCATGCCTCAGCAAACCTTGAGCAGGCCTCAGAGGACTGAATCACAAGCAGCTGTGGCAGTTTCCAGACTTCTCAATCCACAAACACCAAAGACAACTTAGAAGGTCAATAGGAAAGGTCTGTCAGACCTGGGTGAGAGAGGAACCTGGTCTGGCCCTGGCCCCAGCCCTGAAATGGTGGCAGCAGCAGCAGCTGCTTCCAGAGCTCTAGGCCCACAGACAGTGGGGGGATCAAGCAGCTGATCAGAGGGGAATTGAAGGGATCTCTTTGTTGGTGCCGAGATGGGATTCCCTTGCTTTGCCTGTGCCTGGATCTGGGTCACAGTCCTGGGTGGTGGTCCTGGGGCAAGGAGAAGTGTTGGGTGTGGTGGAGCTTATGGTGGCAGTGCAGAGAGAATCCTCCTCACAGTTCAAAGACAGAAAAGAGTGCTTATAGTCACTCACAGACTAGAGCACAGGCCAAGAAAGGAGTAAACACCTCGCCTTTGATCATACCACCTTGGAAGAACTGAAAATTTACAGGTGCCTAGAAGTATCTCTGAAAACAGCTGCACCAAACTCCTGAAGCTTGGGACAGTACACCCTCCACACTAGAAGCAGAGCCCTACCTTAACAAAGAGTTAAAAAGTCAAACAATTAGCTGGGAACATGAGCAAACAGTACAAAAAATTCAGACTACAGAATCTTACTTTGGTGACAAAGAAGATCAAAACATACAATGAGAAGAAGATAACAAAGTCAAAGCTCCGACATCCAAAGCCTCCAAGAAAAATATGAATCAGTCCCAGGCCTTGGAAGAGCTCAAAAAGGAGTTTGAGAAGCAAGCAAGTAAGAGAAGTAGAGGAAAAACTAGGAAGAGAAATGAGAGTGATGCAAGAAAATCATGAAAAACAAGTCAACAGCTTGCTAAAGGAGACCTAAAAAATTAATGAAGAAAATAACACCTTAAAAAATAGACTAACCCACATGGCAAAAGACATCCAAAAAGCCAATGAGGAGAAGAACGCCTTAAAAAGCAGAGTTGGCCAAATGGAAAAGGAGGTCCAAAAGCTCACTGAAGAAAATAATTCTTTAAAAATTAGAATGGAGCAAATGGAAGCTAATGACTATGAGAAATCAAGAAATTATAAAACAAAATCAAAAGAATGAAAAAACAGAAGACAAAGTGAAATATCTCACTGGAAAAACAACTGACCTGGAATATAGATCCAGGAGAGATAATTTAAAAATTAATGGACTACCAGAAAGCCATGATCAAAAACCTAGACATCATCTTTCAAGAAGTTATCAAGGAAAACTCCCCCGATATTCTACAGCCAGAAGGTAAAATAGAAATTGAAAGAATCTACCAATCACCTCCTAAAAGAGATCCCAAAAGGAAATCTCCTGGGAATATTTATAGCCAAATTCCAGAGTTCTCAGTTCAAGGAGAAAATTATTGCAAGCAGCCAGAAAGAATCAATTCAAGTATTGTGGAAACACAATCTGGATAACACAAGATTTAGCAGTTTCTACATTTAGGAATCAGAGGGCTTGGAATATGATATTCTGGAGGTCAAAGGAGCTAGGATTAAAATCAAGAAATCACCTACTTGGCAAAACTGAGTATAATCCTTCAAGGGAAAAAATAAACATCCAATGAAATAGAGGACTTTCAAGCATTCTTGATGAAAAGACCAGAGCTGAATAGAAAATTTGACTTTCAAATACAAGACTCAAGTGAAGCATGAAAACGTAAACAGGAAAGAGAAATCATAAGAGACTTACAAAAGCTGAACTGTTTATATTCCTACATGGAAAGATGATATTTGTAACTATGAGACCTTTCTCAGTATTAGGGGAGTTGGAGGAAAAATTTTACATTATACATATGTGTGTTTTGTGTGTGTGTGTATGTGTGTATGTATATATGTACAAAGGGAACTGGGTGAGTTGAATATGAAGGGATGATATCTAAAAAATAAAATTATGGGGTAAGAGAGGATTATACTGGGAGAAAGAGAAAGGGAGGGGTAGAATGGGGTAAATTATCTCACATAAAACAGACAAGAAAAAGCTTTTACAGTGGAGGTTAAGTAGGAGGAGGTGAGAGGGAATGAGTGAATCTTACTCTCATTGGATTTGGCTTAATGCAAGAATAACATACACACTCAACTGAGTATGGAAATCTATCTTACCCTACAGGAAAATAGGGGGGAAGGGGATAAGAGAAGGGGGATGACAGAAGAGAGGGCAGAATGGGGGAGTGGGTAATCAGAAGCAAACACATTTAAGGAGGGACAGGGTCAAAGAAGAGAACAGAATAAACAGGTGGTGGGATAGGATGAAGGGAAATATAGTTAGTTTTTCACAACATGACTTTTATGGAAGTGTTTTACATGACTACACATGTATGACCTATACCGAGTTGCTTACTTTCTCAATGAGGGTGAGTGGGAAGGAGGAAGGGAGAGAATTTAGAACCCAAAGTTTTAAAAACAAATGTTAAAAATTGTTTTTACATGAATCTTGGAAATAAGATAAACAGGCAATGGGGTACAGAAATCTATCCTGCCCTACAGGAAAACAGAAGGGGAAAGGATTATGACAGAAGGGAGGGCAGATTGGGGAAAGGTGTATTCAGAATGCATACCTTCTTGGGGTAGGGGGAGAGGAGAGATGGGGAGAAAATTTGGAACTCAAAATCTTGTGGAAGTAAATGTTGAAAACCAAAAATTAATAAATTAATTAAAAAAAAAGAAATTAAGACCTCCCCAAAACAGGCCTAATTATGACTTCTTTAAATGGTAAAGAATACTTGTGAATATATAAATAAGCTTAGTTTAAATAACATTGAAAAGAGAGTGCAAGAAGCGCCTCTTGGGGCAGCTAGGTGGCGCAGTGGATAGACCACTGGCCCTAAAGTCAGGAGGACCTGAGTTCAAATGTGGCCTCAGACCAAACACTTGACACTTACTAGCTGTGTGACCCTGGGCAAGTCACTTAACTCCAAATGCAAAAAAAAAAAGTGCGTCTGGTTACTAGGTGTATCATATGTGACGCAGAAATCACAGATAATGTTCACATATCAAGAAACAACCTAGCACAATGACTTACAAAGAAAAGCAGCTCAATAAATTTTTAAAAAAAATAGGAAAAGAGGTGATTTTCTGAAGGGAAAGAAAACCATTGAGGTGGTAAGCTAGACTTTCACTTTCTAATTAAATCTTTCCAGGAGGTAATGAATCTGCACCTTTCAATCCATTTTTACAAGTGTGGTTGACTAAAATGTAAACTGACACTCAATTCAATTTAATGAGCATTTATTAATCACCTGTTTACTGAACATCATATGATCCCTGCCCTCATTTATTTACGCTCTAGTAGTGAGAGATGACAGAGATATAATATATTATAAGTGTACTTGAGAGGTAAAAAACAAAAAGACAACCTGTCAGAAAGGCTATTTCAGTAGTAAAAGCAGGTAGTAACGAAGGCCTGCATTAAAGAGCATAACAGTAACAACAGACAGAAAGGTGCAGCTGCAAGAGGCTCCACAGACATACAATTAAGACTTAAGTAATTTGGTATGAAAAGTGAGGCAAAAGATAGAATAAAAAAAATAACACCAATATTTTAAAAATAAGAGACTATGTAAATGGTACTTGGGGAGGAAGGTAATTAGGTTGATTTTGAACACACTGAATGAGAAGTCCTGGCAGGACCTACAAAAAAAGATGTTCTAAAGCCAGTTTGACATGCAGGTTTAGAGCTCAGAAGAGAGGTTATGACTAAAGATACAGACACGAGAGGCATCTTCATAGATGTGGTCTTAGGAATGAGTAAGAGTAAAGAAGAGAGGATAGAGACAGAAAAAGAGACAAAGAACAGTGAGAACAAAAGAGAAACAGAAGAGATCTAGGAAAGCCAAGGAAATGGGAGTGTTTCTAAAGGGAAAGAAAAAAAAAGTGTCCACTATAAGACAGCAGGCAAAAGTTCTTGTAATCAAATGCTACAGAAAGATGAAAACTGAAAAAAGGTCACTGGATTTGACAATTAGTCATGGGTAACCTTTGCAAGAGCTGTATCTGGTGAGGGGAGAAGTCAGATTGCAAGGAATAGAAGAAAATAGATGGTGAGGAGGTAGAGGCATCAGCCATAGACTACTTTTTTTCCGAAGTGTTATAATCAAAGGGAAGAAAAAAGATGGAACAGTAGGTAGATTTAATTCAATATTCAAAATTCACTCGTAAAAATTTAGAAGATAGGATAGAAAGAAAAAGAATCAGGATTTGAATTCTAGGCTTTGCTGCTATGTGATGTTGGGCAGCACACCTAAACTTTCTGGGCCTCAATTTTCTCATCTGTAAAATTAGTAGGTTAGACTGTTCAAACTTCAAATTCTAGTTTTATACTCCTATTATCTAACGGCCAAGAGAAAGCTTTTTCGAGTGCAGGCCTTGAGAACATTTTGTAGGCTAATGAGAGAGAATCAGTGAGGAGGATAAAGATGTAAGAGACAGGATAATAAGTGAAGTAAGATTCTGAAGGACAAAGAGGAGCATAGGACTATGGATTCAAGTAGAGATTAGCTCCATGAAAGAGAACAAATAACTCTTAACTCTGTCATCAAAAAGGAAGAGAAGAGAATGTGATGATGATGCTGCTGAAAGATTCTGAGGAAGGAAAATGACACAAAGAGAGGCAAAACATTAGAGTGACAGGAGACTTCTTTATCAGTAAAATTAACTTAATTCTGCAAATATTTATTGAGCACCCAAGATTATCAAGGTGTTGTGCTGCGTGACACAAAGACAGAGACAGCATTAGGTCTACTCTCAAAGAGCTTACAGTCTAATGAAAGTAGAAATGGGGAGAAAAGGCAAGAACACAATGGATGACAGAAGGGAGAGAGTGTGCTAAGTATTGCTATAGTCAATTATATGAATGGATGTCATATACAAGTGGCTTTAACTTTTTCAACTTGATCTTTGTTCAGGTATCACTAGGGAATAAATAGGTCCGAAGGATGAAAGTTTTAGAAAAGTATACTGGCTTAACAGTAAAACTTCCTAACAAGAGCTATTCAAAAGTAGATTGGACTGAGTTCCTCATCTCAGAAAGTTACCAAGCAAAGACAAAATGACTATTTGATAAGGATGTACAGAATTCAATAGGTTAGTCTGAATGACCTCTGAGGTCCTCATTAACTCAGAAATACCACAATTCCTTTAAACAGAATGTCCTAAGAGGTACTGCATTTACACATATTATATATCCCATATAATGCTAATCTAACCACTGTCATTTAACAATAATATCACTAGTATATGCTAACAAAACCCCACCAAAACATCATAAACCCTACTCTTCAGCCCAAGACAAAAACTGGATGGTCAATAATGATTAAAAATAGTAGCATTAAATTCCCCAATGTCTTATTGCTTAGTGTGTGTGTGTATAAATATCATTCCTAAAGACCTAGCTACACTCCTATAACATTGCTTTCCCTTATGCCATGTTTTTGTGGAAATAATTAATAGTTAGGTAATACATACTTTTACAATACCTATTTCAATTCTAAACTTGAAATACTAAACCTGTCACTTCTAGTTAGCTAAAATGACTCTTCTTTCAGATGCAATTTGTTCCAGTCAAGGGCATATTGACTAGTTCAGCTCTATTTAAATTCAGTGTGACCTCACATTTATAGTGGGTACCATATTGCTTGGCATTTCAAGAGATGTGAGAGGGACAGAGAAAGTAGAGAATTTGGAGCTCAAAATAGAAAAATGAATATTAAAAATTTAAAAATAAAAAAGTATAAGATACTCACATAGTTTCTTCATCAATATCATTTTCCTCAGTATTACTAGTTGCTGTTGAACTGGCAGAAGAACTGCTACCATCTAAATGGTTTACTTCATCTTCTCCAACAAGATCTATATCCAGGTCTCCATCTGAAAGCTCATGCTATCAAAGCAAAGGGGAAAAAATGGATAAGATACACACAAACATAGATATACACACAAATACTCATACAAACTTAGAAACTTAAGACTTCTATTTAATGCAAAATCTTCCAGGAACAATACTAATATGCAGGTATCCATAGTTATGAAGTGATTTCACCTTCTTCTGAACTTTGATAACAATTATCACCTATAACATTTGGTAATTCAATCATGTACTGCCTTGTGACATTTTTATTATGGGTTTATAGTATTAAATATTTTGTTATATGAGGTGTGTGGTATAATGGACAGAGCAATGAAGGTGAGGTCAAAACACCTCAGTTTCCTCCTCTGGAAAATGAGAGGGGTTGGATTTTGATCCCTAAAGCTGTGATCCTATGGTTTATCTTTTCACATGTTTATGTTTTATCTCAACTAGACTGAAGAGCAGAGACCACATCTCATCCTTCATTGTCTCCCCCACAGTACCTTACAAAGGACTGTCTACATGTCAGGTACTCAATAAATATGTGATTTTATCAGTTCTCCAAAACTACATCAAGGTTCTACAGTTTCCTCTGGTATGGGTGCTCTCTTCACCAAAGAAGAAGGCAGCCTCTCTGCAATTTAGAAGAATTATCATTAAGAGTTACTGAAACCAGCATTATCTTGTGGCCAAACTTTTCAAATTTAGCTACCCTACTCTTCACATATCCAACATATATACTACCATTGGGCCTGTTCCTGAAGATTTTCCAGCTTTTTATTCCAGGGCCCAAGTTCAGCTAGGACAGCCTTTAAAAACAAAGAGTCATATTGACTAGGGAATGGCTAAACAAACTAGTACATAACTGTAATGGAAATATTACCATAAAATAAAAAATAAAGAATTTGGAGAAGCACGGGAAGTTATATATAAAGTGAAGCTTTTTATGTGCCAGATACTGAGCTAAGCTTTGGGGAAAGAAAGGCAAAAAATAGTCCTTGCTCTCGGTGAACTAACACATTCTAATGGGAGAATCAACATTCAAACAACATTAAATTAACATTCAAACAAGAAACACACACAGTTGTGAGTAATCTCAGAGAGAAGAAACTAGTATTTAGGAAGAAGAGGAAAGCTTCCTGTAAAAGATGAGATTTTAGCTGAGACATGGAGGAAGCCAGGGAAGTCAAGAAACGAAGGTGAGAAGGAAGAGTATTCCAGGCATGGGGGACAGCCAGCAAAAATGCACTGAGAGTTATGAGATGAAGTGTCTTGTGAAAGGAACAGCAGGGAGGCCAGTGTTATTGGATTGAACAGTACACTGAGAATAAAGTGCAAGAACACTAGAAACATAAGGAATCGTCAAGTTATGAGAGTCTTTAAAAAGCCATGTAGAAGATTATTTTCATGTTTTTAAATGCATAAAATCAAATTCATGGGATCATAAAGGAAACTAATTATATTGAAATAAAGTTATCAAGGTATTGAAAAAACAAGTTCATGGACCCTTGGTTAAGAACCCCTACTAAGTAACAATGTATTACTTTGGCCAAAATAATTATCAACTGATGGCTAGCCTTTCTAACTTCAGTGGTAATTGGCCTTTTCATTTTAAATCAGTTGCATGTACAACACAACAAACACAGTCCTTTGCCGGGCCAAACTTTAGGTATTTTCAGCTTACTAGGACCAATGAGAACTTATGCTCCATTGGTACTCCTAGGATCAACTCAATACCACAATGAAGCAGAAGTATGCTAAGTAGGCTTTTATGAAAGAACATAATTTTCAACCTCAATAAATCAAAAATACTTCCAAACCAGTTGGTAGGCAAAAAAATTTTTAACACTTTAATTTTATCTTATGTTGATCGTTTTTGTTGCCTTTATGGTGATGCTCTGCTAATTCTCTTGAGAAATGCTGAAGTAAGTAAGAACAGTAAAATGAAGTAGGCAGAATCAAGAAAACAATATACACAATGATTATAACAATGTAAATGGGTGAGAAACAGAATAAAATTAAATAAAGCTGGGTAACTGGAAGGACTAAGCTTGGTTTGACAAAAAGAGATGAAAAAATGAAACTTCCTCCTTTGCAGAGTTGGGAAACAATAGGTACGTATTGCTGCACATACTGTCAGATTCAGATGATGTATTAATGGACTGATTTTTCTTTTCTCTTGCTTCTTCATTCTTCATTACAAGAAATGGCTCTAGTAGTGGAAAGATGCATTTGAAATGAAGGTGATATAAAAACAAACATGGGGTTTCCTCAGGAGAAGGAACTCCCAAATGAGTAAAGCCCTTCCACCAATTCAGAATAGGATGTGCTCTGCAATTTAAAATCTTAGAAAACGGCCTATAGCATGGAACAGTTGGTTACATGACTCGACCACAGTCACAGAGCCAGAACATGGGAGAAGCAAGACTTAAACACAGGTCTTCTTGTCTGAACCCAAATTTCTAAACACTACCTTTCTGCAATCGATAATTTGTTTTTATTTTTAAATGTAAAAATGTACTTATTCATAACTTTTGAGAAGTTGATTCCATTCCTTCCCAAAAAGTCTATAATATGGACAAAATGCTAAGAAAAATTAGACAGTAGCTTACGCTAAAACAAAAATATACATCTGATGTATACAAACTTTAAAAAGCAATATTACAGGCAGTATGAATGTAAATTACACTTAAAATATCTTTAAATGACACACAGCTACAAACTTAAAATTATGGCAAAACTTAATAATCACATCTTTAGTGAAATATATTTACACATTCAGTCAGTGCCTTAGTTCTGCAAGTTAAAAAAGGAGATGAATTTACAGATATCCTTGCTTATCATACAGATTAAAATATTTGAACAGCCATGTGATTTTTAAAAATACAGCAAGAATTTACATCACTATTTGCATCTTAATCTTCCTATGCTAAGGAAGCGCATTACCACTGTTATGAAGAAAAAAAAGCTACTAAGGAAACTACATGTCAATTTAGCTGCTGAAATTATATTAGATTCCCTAGCAAAACCAAGAAATGCAGCCCAACTTGGGGGTATTTTGCTCCCTTAGCCTTTAGTTCATATTCAACAAAATGGGAAAAAGAAAGGCTAACATGCGGGAATAATTCTTTTTTTTAAAACCCCACAAGGTTACCTGTATTTACCCACGATGAAGCTTCATAGGACTTCAGAAGGGGATTTTACTAGCGTCTGATAAATGTCAGTTTCTGAGTATTATGGCACACAGTAATCTAAAATTTACTAGGTCTATTTCTAAAACTACCTTACTACTGAATACAGTTGTTCTAGACTGCTACCACATATTTAACTCCAAAGTGCCTGGGGTACTGTGACTCAGCTTCTGCTTTACAAAATGGAGATCTTATAAATGAGTTTTATGGAGACATAATATACAAAAAGGCAAGATTTTATGCAATTCTGTCTTGTTCCTCTCTGGCTTCCTTCAAGTCTCAGATCAAATCCACCTTTTATAAGAAGCCTTTTACAATCTCCCTTAATTCTAGTGCCATCCCTCTGTTAATTTTTTCCAATTTATCCTTATATATTTTGTTCATATATAGTTATCTGCTTGCTGTCTTTCCTATTAGAGTAAGAGCAGGATTGGGATTGTCTTTGCCTTTCTTTGTATCTCCAGTGTTTAGCACTATGACTGGCACACAATAGGAAGGAAAGAAGGAAGTATTTATTAAACCCCTACTATCTTTACAAATATTATCTAATTTGATCCTCACAGCACTTTTGTTAGGAAAGTGCTATTATTATCTCCATTTTACAGATGAGAAAAACTGAAGCAACCAGAGACAGGTTAAGTGACTTGTCCAGGTTTATACGCTAGTAATTGTCTGAAGATGGATTTGAACTCGAGTCTTCTTAACTCTAGGGCCCAGTGCTCTATCTATTGTGCTACCTAATGACCTCCACAGTAGGCATTTAATAAATGTTCACTGACTTACTGACTGTTGAATGACAGAAAAATATCACGACACTCATATCAAAACCAACACTGAAACGAGAATATTTTCCTACATTATAATCTTCGTGTTGGATCTTTTCTTCATCCTCTTCATCCTCTTTGGCCTCTCTTACTGAAGCTGTAGCAGGCATACCCTCAAGAAGCAATTCACAACTTGATCCTGCTTTCTTAGCTCTCACCTCAAGACCATCACCATTTTGAGGGCTAAGGTGAGTGTCTGGTGGTGACATGCCTCTTGATTTTTGGGATCGGGAAAGTTCAATGGTAAGTCTCTTTAAAAAACAAATCAATACATACAAAACATTAAACATAGGCAATGCTTAATCACATGCTAAATGAGGTAGGTATTTCTACTTACCTCAATACATTCTACTTCTTTTTAGGAAACCCTAAAATAATTTCATTACATCTACTCCAACCCTAGTCAAAATCTCTTCCATTCTTCCATTTCCTGTGACTGAATAAACTATTCTACTTCCCTCATATTCAATCCTATAGGTAGTAAGAGCAGTAAATATTATAATGTTCAATATATTAGTTAAATTTGTTTAACTGATAGTCTTGACACGCAATAAAATAACAAATCAGAATGGAAAATTTTGACAGCATTTCATCACATACATTTCCCTCTCATGAATTCTCTCTCCCATATTCTTGCAAAGAAAAAGAAAAATATTTCCCTAAAATTTCTTCTCTGCTTTTCAAAAAAAATTATATTTTGGCAACACAATGTTACTACTAATTCACAAAAAATCCTCATCTTGCAAGGGCTTTCTTTATGGGTAATAATGCTGTCTTCTCTGTCTCTTCATGCTCAGGAAAAAAATATCCTTTTAAAAATGGCTAAAAATCTCAGTCTTTGGAAGAGAAATCAGAGAAACCAAATAAGTCTCCAAGAAATGGAAGAATCTGAACAGAGTTGCAGACTCCAAGAATTACAAAATGGGAAAAGAATGTTCAAGTCTGCCTCAATTATCAATAGCAAATAGTAATTCTATCATCTACTAGCTAATTTAGTAACCAAAAAGTCCATTTAAAGCATAGATCTAGAGACAGATGTTACCTGCTTACCTCTTTAAGATTATTAATTTGTTGGATATAGCTAGTTTGGGCAGTTTCCAACTGAGTAATATACCAATGTTGGTCCCGGCATTTTTGGAAGAAAGTTGGTGAACGCACTTGAAATCTTAAGAAATGTACACAAACAAAAAGACCTATAAATACATGCACATATACACAGAAATAACAGCTAAATTAAAAACTAATTCAAAGAATAAAATTTTATTACTAAAAACAAGGCCTTAAATTTACATTTAAATTCTAAGTTTCTAGGTCATTTGATCAGTCTAAATTTCCAGTATAAACCACCTGAAATCTTGCATTGACTAATGGATCATTTTCTCTAAATTCAGTTTTTAAGTTAGCTATTTGAAACCCAGGAGGCATTTTCCCCCACAGAAACAAATGACAACTAATTGCAATAAACATTTATTAAGTGCCTCCAGTATACAAAGCAACATCCTAGATCTCAGGAATATAAAGATAAAATGAAACTGTCTTTGGCTTCAAGAAGTTTAAGGCGAGGGGGGAGGGAAGGGTGTAACAGCAGTACGTGTATATATATAGAAATACATGAATATAAAGAATATATAAAGTAATTTCAAGTGAGAGAGAATGTTAATATGGCATCCTACAGAGGTAGTATTTAAGTTTTGCTTGGAAAAAAAGTTAGGATTCTATTAGGCAGCGGTGTGGAAAGAATACATTCCAGTCATTGGAGTTAGCTGCTTGTATCCAAAAAAATGGAAGAGGGAAGCAGTAGATGGAATGCTCTATCCTGGAGTTACCTAGAAAGGCAATATTAGCCCATAAAAGCCTATTTAACCTATAGTGTGGCTGAACTATAAGGCACTTCCAGGAATGTAGCAAACCATGTGGTACTGAAGAAACAAAGGGGGGGAAATATTTCCTTCCCCTTTCCCAGGTGCAAGGCTACACCTCTGCAAAATGTACACATTGGCTTTAGCAATTTTCTCTCCATCTCCCTTTCTTATGTCCCACTTCCAAAGTCCTCAAGTAAACTGCTCTAATTCAATGTGGGGCCCACACCATACCATAGAGTGCTCCAGTATCCAAAATTAAAGCTTTATCACCCTTCTTCAGCTGAAATAAAAATTTCCAAACCACCTATTCTCAGGTAGGAGTTAGAAGGAAAAACCATGTGAACTATTTCAAAATGACTCTATGAATCACACAAAATAGCAGAGACTTCTAGTCAACTCAAACAAATGTCTAACTGGTTAAACTTCAAGCAGTATAATAAAGTAAGCTAGGAACATTTCAGGAAGCAAGGCTAGAGATACGTTTTGGAAGAGAAAGCCAGATAGCTAGGCCAGGCCAGTCTGAGAGTCTGCCTCCAAGGTTAGCTCCCTTAAGGTATTTCTCTAGTTCTAAAGCCAAAGATTTGCTAAAAATTCTGAATTTTTCCTACAACTCCCATTTATTAAAGCCAGAAGGAACTTTCAAGATAGCATAGTCCAATCACCCTCATTTTACAGAATAAAAATGAAGTGATTTGCTAACCTCTCACAAAACTAACATGTGAAAAAAGATTGGAACCTAGTTTAGTTCAATGCTCTACCACAACAAGCTAGCTACTTCTTCTGACCTAGGGACATGCATGGCAGAAAGGAGACAGCTATTTTCAAATGAAGTTAGAAGAGGGAAGGTGACTTGCTCAACAAAGTCACTGAGGTAGTATAAGTAACAGGGCCAGGACTTCTATTCAGGTCTTCTAAACCTAATTCCAGAGCTTTTTCCTCTATACCACATCACCTTAAAGTGATTTATAGTCAAATGATTACCGAATTTACTAGGTGCATGGTGATCAAATACTATTTATTAAATACTAGTAAATATAAATCACAATATTTAATATTGATACTAATAATAGAGTTGGCACTGCAGAGTGGCAAAAGTACTAGTCACATCCTGGTTCTTGACACTAATGACCTGTGTGATCACATCCATTAGACTGTAAACTCCTAAAGGGCTCTTTTTGTATCCACAGTGCTTAGCACACTGCCTGACTCATAGTATGTGTTCCATAAATGTTTACTGACTTAATTCTGAGGCTCTTTCTCCATATTTAAAAGTAGTTAAAATTTGTATTGCCTACCTTACCAGGTCAGCTGACCCACAATCTTAAAGCACTACAAAAATGTGAACTACTATATATTATTATTACAAAGGTAACATGGCATAACAGATAAGGGTGGTAGACTGGGGAATCAAAAAGACCTGGGTTCAAATCCCACCTCTAACAAACGTATTAGACACTGTACCTCTAAATGACTCAAGCAACTCCCCAGCACTTATGTTCTTAAACCATGGACCTGAGCCCAAGAGTCTTGGGAATATTAGTTCCTGCCTCCCAGAACACTGGTCCTGTTTCCAGGGGAGCAACCCTTGTCTAAAATGAGTCAGACATCCCCACCAACTACAGCTCAACTGCCATGAACAGGGTGGGAAGCCAGAAGGTGCTATATGCCAGGAAAGTCAAATGACCATGACCACTACCTCCCTTCAGACCCTGATGGAAACAGCCCAGAACACTGAGCATAAGAGCCCTTATAATAGCAAAGCCCACAAAACTGTAGGTCCTAGTTCCAACCTAGCCTTTAAATAAATCAACTCTTGTGAAGATGTGACCTAGCAACTATTTGTGCGGGTACTGAAGCCCGAGCTTCCTCAGCAGACAGAGGTATTAAATACCTGGAAAAGAAAGTTCTCATCATCAAAATAACTGACACTATAAAATGGCTCAACATCAGAAATAGTGTTTTTATCAACAGAAATGACATTATATATGTTAACTATCTGCTTTGTGGCTACACTGTAATGACCATGGGGCCTCTCCATCTGACTTGCAACAAGAACCTCCAATATGTGTTATCTCCTTAATTAGTATGCGAGTACCTTGAGAGCAAGGACTGTATTGCTTTTCTGTTTATATACCTGGAACTTAGCAGTTCTTTGCTCATAGAAATAACTTAGCAGTTCTTTGTTTAGTAACTGCTTCTTCATTCCTCCATTTTCACTGATGGAAATAGAATAGGAAAACAGATTGGCTGGCTGTATTATTAGATAGAGGACTCATATGGATGAGATCACAGGTTTACTACAACAGTCAACTATTTTATTAATTTCATTATGAAAATTACTTTTAATGTAAATGTTCAGCACTAGTATTTATTTTTCACAGAACAGTGTTCTCAGAATTTTACTTTAAAATAAAGGATAAAAGTCACAATATGAAATTTCCCATTACCTTAAAACCACTGTATCATTTTGCCGGTTCAAATAGCCTTCATTTGCAAGTAAATCCAAACGAAAAAATCTATTATAACCCCAGCATTCTCCAACTTCAAAATCAGATGCAAATTCTCGAATGATATTCTTGGCAGGATCATTGGAGGACTGATGAACCATCTCAACACGGTACTCATATCTAACATTGGAAAAAAATCCATTAAGAAATAGTTAAAGGATATTAACAGTTCTCTCAAAAGAACTGTTAACAACTAGGGGAAGGATTCCTCCAATTCATCAATAATAAGCAAAGTAAAAGTCAGATGTGCAAGTCAAAAAGCAACTCTGAGGTTTCACTTTATTCTCAAAAAAATGTGCAACACAAGAGACAGAAAAGACAACGTTGACAGAACAGAGAAAAGAAATACACACTACACACTATTGGTGGAACTGTGAATTGGCTTTAGCAATTTTATTTTTATAAAAAATAACCATTCTGGAAGGCAATTTGGAATTCAACTAAATGATTCATACCCTTTGAACCAGAGATTCACACTGCTAAACACATACTCAAAGTAGGTAAAAAATGGAAAATGGTCCTATATATACCAAGATAGTCATAGCAGCAATTTTATGTTATAGCAAAGAAATGAAAACAAAATACATGTCTGCTGACTAGAGAATAGCTAAAAAAAAATTGTGGCATGTGAATGCAATAAAATAGAAGCATGAGAAGACATGAACTGATGATGCACAATGAGGACAAGCTAAGTAGAACCAAGAAAAACACATTAACACTGACCACAATGTAAATGGAAAGAACATAAATATGAAACTGAACATTATAATGACTAACTTTGGCCACAGAGATGAGATGAAAAAACAATTTCTTCCCTTCTTTGTAGAAATGGAGGATTATACATGTGGACTACTGCATATACTGTCAGACAAGACTGATGGTTAGAATCGCTGCACAACTTTCCTCCCCTTTCTTAATTTTTTTTATTCAAATGGTACACTGGGTAAAAGGAGAAGGGGAGGCTGGAGGTCGAGAATATATTAAAAAATAAAGGTGACATAAAAACATACCCTATTCAGTTATCAACTAGAAATGTGCCATCACTCTTATTAACATGGCCCTTTAAGAAAATTTCACTCAACACTTAAAGCTGCAAGAAATCCTCCTTTTTAAAAAGGTAAAGAATATCACTTGGCAGTCAGCATTACTTAAATTACAGAAGGCTACACATCAGTATATTTTACCAAAAAAAAAAAATGACATTCACAAAAAATGTGAAGCGGGCTTTTGTCAATAGCAGATCGCGTTTAAGTAAGTCTTCAAATGAAGGTTAGACAACCACCTGTTAGTGATATTATAAGAATTTCAGACATGTTCAAATTTAAACTAGATGGAATTTGGGGGCCCCATCCAACTCTGAGCATGTGATACTGCAGAGTGACTAGAGAAGCCCAGGCTTCTGACATATTACCTTTTTATTAACTGTGAATGACCAAGATATTCTGAATATTATAAATATTCACATCAACTACGAAGGACCTATGAAGGAAGACATTATCCACTCCAAAGAAAGAACTGATAAATACAAGTATGCACAGCACAATTATACACACACACACACACACACACACACACACACACACACACACGTATATGTACATGTCTATCCGTGTCAAATGATGGCCTTCACTAATGTAGGGTGAGAAAGGAGACAGGCAGACAGTTTAGAACTTAAAATGTAACCAAAAAAACACATAAAATTACATTAAAAAAATTACTGTCTGGGTCAGTTGGAGCTTCAGGTTTAAAACAAAACACACTGACACACTATGCCACACATTTTACATCCAGATGCACCAAGACATAGCAAAAACTGTTTTATAAGTATAACAAAAAGGCAAAACATGTTAAAAATATATACTAAGGAAATCAATACTCAATCATGTTTCTTACTTGGACGTTTCTGGCAATCCAGCTGAGAGTTCCAGGAACACAGAGAGGTAATAACCACGTACAACTCCATTTCCATCCTTAAAAAGAATAGGTTGTATCTACTGATTAACCTATAAATTCCATGTACTGGAGACCAATACGTACTATTTTACCTATGAATCTATCTAACAGAAACCTAATCTGGGGGCAGCTAGGTGGCGCAGTGGATAGAGTTCCGGACCTGGAGTCAGGAGGACCTGAGTTCAAATTCGACCTCAGACACATAACACTCAATAACTGTGTGGCTCTGGGCAAGTTAACCCCAACTGCCTCACCAAAACAAACAAACAAAAATAAACCTAATCTGTCTGGATAAAGTAATAAACACATAAGACACTTCAGAGCCAGAAACTACAATATTAATGGTAAATCATCTCTATTTTAACATCTTAGTATATTAGCAATTTAATAAAATGAGATTATTTTGTGCTAACTTTCCTTTCATTTGTCCAATGCTGTGAGGAATGAATAAGGAAAGATACAATTTTATTTATTCTGACATACAGAAAAAATAAGCAATAATATTTTAAAGTTATTTGTCTTAAAATTTTATAACATTAAGCAGCAAATATTCCTAAAAACACTGTTAAAAAGTAAAATACATGTAACTCCACTAGAATTAAGACATAAAAAGATACAACTGCATCTTTTTTTGTTTTTAAATAATTAATTATAAATCTAACTTGTTTTTAACAAGAGCAGTGATTCAAATATATGAAACAAGGGGCAGCTAGGTGGCAGAGTGGATAGAGCACCAGCCCTGGATTCAGGAGGACCTGAATTCAAATCCAGCCTCAGAAACATAACACTTACTAGCTGTGTGACCCTGGGCAAGTCACTTAACCCCATTGCCTAGCAAAAACAAAAAACAAAACAAATATATGAAACAGCATAAAAAATAAGGTCATAAAATGAAAATTTTAAAAACAATAAAGTTAAAGTGATTTTTTCAATGTGTCTGTAAAATTTCACTATTTACCTATTGCAAATACCAGATCCCAACATATCTACATTGACTAACACAAGCAGCGTGGTACCCACAGAAAGGCAGTGTGGTATAGTGACCTTGGAGTCCAGAAGACCTGGGTACAAATCCCATCTCTGCAATCTACTAGGTATGTGACCCTGAGTAAATCACTTAACTTACTTGTCTTACTTAATTTACGAATTTACTTAACTACATGACTCTGAGTAAGTCACTTAACTTGCCTTAATGCAACTCTCTAAGAAAGTAAGTTGCAGAGAAGGTAAAGATCTGTAGACATGAAGATATAAGGCAGCTATGTGAAACAATGGATAGAGCAATGGACCTACAGTCAAAAAGACAAGTTCAAATTCAGCTTCAGAAGCATACTATCTGAACCTGGGCAACTCAGGTAACCTCTCAGTCACAGTTTCCTCATCTGTAAAACCTAATTGCACCCACCTCCCAGAATTGGAGCTATTACTACTACTACTGCTATAATTGGGGGAGGGAGTGTCTAATTTTATATTTCATGACATTAGAATGTTTGACCAGTACAGAATTAAAGCTAAGGATGAATTTCATAAGTGTCATCTTTATTAGCTTGACACAAAAACGAACTCATGCTTTATTTCTGTAAAATTATTTTATAATTGACTTTATATATATATATATATAAAGTTCCACAGGATCTTAATAGGTTAATTTGTTAATGTTTTGCTGCTAAACTATGTGTAACTTACCTATCAATTTTTAAACATATGATTGCCAATATGTAAAGATACATTGACAATAGGAGAGGGTATTATATTCTGCTATACTACCTAAGTTGTTTATTATTTTAATTAATGATCTTATTTCTCTTGAGTTTTCTAAATAAAGAATTATACCCTCTGCAAATAATTATTTCAATCTCTCCTTATCACAATAACTATTCGTCTAATTTTTCTCATTTTATTGCTATGGTTACACTTCCAGTACCATGCCAGATAACATTATTGAGAGTGAGCAGCTTTGCAAACCCTTGTTCTGAGTGGAAAAAAAATGTTTCAAGTAAACAGAATACTAGGTGTTTTTCTTTTAAAAAAAAGTTTTTATTGATATTTTCTGTTTCTTACATCACTATAATATCCTAGAGTATCACTTCACCTCCCCCTCCCAGAGAGCCTTCCCACATGACAATAGTATTTTTTAGAGAGTGAAAAAAAGTCAGCACAACTGATTAATAAATTGAAAAACTCTGAAAATGTGTGCAATACGTTAACACTTGTGGACCTCCTACCTCTACAAAGAAGTGCGGGAGGAGGAAGTCTTCTCATCTCTCTTCATTCAAGTCCTGCTTGGTCTTTTTAATTTTGATACATTTGCTTTTGATTTTTTTTTGATATAAATTTATTTTTAGTTTTCAATATTCACTTCCACAAGTTTTTGAGTTCCAAATTTCTCACCCCTCCCCCACCCCAAGATGGCATGCATTCTGAATACCCTTCCCCTGGTCTGCCTTCTCTTCTATCTCTCCCCCTCCCTTCTCTTATCCCCTTCCCCTTCTATTTTCCTGTAGAGCAGGATAGACTTCTGTACCCCATTTCCTGTGTTTCTTATTTCCCAGCTGCATGTGAAAACATTTTTTTTTAAAAAAAACATGTGTTTTTAAAACTTTGAATTCCAAATTTTCCCCCGTCCTCCCTCCCCACCCACCCTCACTGAAAAGGCAAGCAACTCAACATAGGTTGTACATGTGCAGTTATACAAAGCACTTCCTTAGTAGACATGTTGTGAAAAACTAACTCTATTTCCCTTAATCCTATCCTGCCCTCCCATTTATTCTATTCTTTCTTTTGACCCTGTCCCTCCTCAGAAGTATTTGCTTCTGGTTACCCTCTTTCCCAATCTGCCCTCCTCTCTTGTCCCCTTCTCCCCCTATTTTTCTGTAGGGTAAAACAGATTTCCATACCCAACTGAATGTGTATGTTATTATCTCCTTAAGCCAAATCCTATGAGAATAAGATTCCCTCATTCCCTCTCACCTTCCCCTGTTTCCCCTCCACTGTGAGAGACTTTTCTGTTTTTTTTGTGAGATAATTTACCCCATTCTACCTCTCCCTTTCTTCTCCGAGTATCATCCTCTCTCATCCCTTAATTTTATTCTCCAGATATGACCCCTTAATCTTCAACTCACCCTGTGCCCTCTATCTATCTGTATATATACATACAATTTTTTTCCTTCAACTACCCTAATACTGACAAAGTTCTCATGAGTTACAAATATCATCTTTCCATGCAGGAATGTAAACAGTTCAATCTTAATAAGTCTCTTATGATTTCTCTTTCCTGTTTACCTCTTCATGTTCCACTGGAGTCCTGTATTTGAAAGTCAAATTTTCTGTTTAGCTCTGGTCTTTTCATCAGGAATGCTTGAAAGTCCTCTATTTCACTGAATGACCATTTTTTCCCCTGAAGGATTATACTCAGTTTTGCTGGGTAGGTGATTCTTGGTTGTAATCCTATCTCCTTTGCCCTCCGGAATATTATATTCCATGCCCTGCGGTCCTTTAATGTAGAAGCTGCTAAATCTTGTGTTATCCTGATTGTGTTTCCACAGTACTTGAATTGTTTCCTTCTGGCAGCTTGTAATATTTTCTCCTTGACCTGGGAACTCTGGAATTTGGCTACAATATTCCTAGGAGTTTTTCCTTTGGGGATCTCTTTCAGGAGGAGATCTGTGATTCTTTCAATTTCTATTTTGCCCTCTGGTTCTAAATATCAGGGCAGTTTTCCTTGATAATTTCTTGAAAGATGATGTCTAGGCTCTTTTTTTGATCATGGCTTTCAGATAGTCCAATAATTTTTAAATTCTCTCTCCTGGATCTATTTTCCAGGTCAGTTGTTTTTCCAATGAGATATTTCACATTGTTTTCTAATTTTTCATTCTTTAGGATTTGTTTTACAGTGTCTTGATTTCTCATAAAGTCACTGCTTCCAATTGCTCTATTCTAATTTTTAAGGAAGTATTTTCTTCAGTAATCTTTTGGACTTCCTTTTCCATTTGGCCAATTTTCTTTTTAGGGCATTTTTCTCCTCATTGGCTTTTTGGACCTCTTTTGCCATTTGGGTTAGGCTATTTTTTAAGGTGTTATTTTCTTCAGTATTTTTTTGGGTCTCCTTTAGCAAGCTGTTGACTTTTTTTCATGATTTTCTTGCATCACTCTCATTTCTCTTCCCAGTTTTTCCTCTACTTCCCTTACTTGCTTCTCAAAATCCCTTTTGAGCTCTTCCAAGGCCTGGGACTGATTCATATTTTTCTTGGAGGCTTTGGATGTAGGAGCTTTGACTTTGTTGTCTTCTTCTGGTTGTATATTTTGATCTTCTTTTTCACCAAAGTAAGATAATATAGTCTGACTCTTTTTGCACTGCTTGCTCATGATCCCAGCCAATTACTTGAGTTTTAAACTCTTTGTTAAGGTAAGAGTCTGCTTCCAATGTGGAGAGTGTACTGTCCCAAGCTTCAGGGGTTCATGTAGCTGTTTTCAGAGATACTTGTAGGGACCTGTAAATTTTCAGTTCTTCCAAGGTGGTATGATAAGGGGCGAGGTGTTTACTCCTTTCCTGGCCTGTGACCACAAGTATTCCTTTCTGTCCCGTAACTGTGAGGAGGGGTTCCTCTGCACAGCCACTACAAGCTCCACCAAGCCAGCATTCCTCCTCACCCCAGCACTGCCGCCCAGAACTGTGACCCAGATCCACACATGGGCAAAGCAAGAGATTCCTGCCTCAGCACTGGCAAAGAGATCCCTGCAGTCCCTCTCTGATCAGCCACTGGATTCCCCCTCAGTCTGTGGGCCAGAAGCTTGGGAAGCAGCTGGCCCCCCCCTCCCCGGGCCAGGCTCTTGGGGAATGGAGCTGAGACCCCGCCTTCCTCTCTGACCACCGACAGAAACAGACTTTTCCCACTGACCTTCTAAGCTGTCTTTGGCATTCATGGATTGAGGAGTCTGGAAACCTCCACAGCTGCCCACGATTCAGTCCTCTCCAGGTATGCTGTGGCCTGTGCGTCCACGCTGTGCTGCGCTCCCA